CAAAAGTATTTGGAAGATGAATAATGCATGCAACTTTTTAAGACTTGTGCTTGTCATGTTTGTCTGTTGAAGTAGAAGAAAAAGGAAAGAAATGGAAGGTAAGAAAAGAATTTTTAGGGTGTTTTTTTTTTTTTGCATGTTCTACAGAGAAGATTGCTTAAAAGATTTGAACATAGGGCATAGGTTTTCATGCCATTCTATGGCATTATTTTGTATTTGATATAAGATGGAGCATAGTTGCAATTTTTGTTTCAAAAAATTCATTTGCCATGGGAATTTGAGAGGGGAAAACACATTTTTATGCATTGTTAGACAGAGTGATAAATCTATAGCAGTAAGCTATTTATGGGTTGTTCTGCAACAGAGATGGGCAGTTTCTAAATATCATAAATAAAAATATGAGTAGAATTATATATTAGTCTATAGATTAGTTCCTTTCATTTTCAGAAACCAGTTTGACGTTCCCTTAGTACTGAGGCAGGCCTGCACAACACATAGCATACAGGCCACCAGTGTTTTGGAAAAATAATTATTTCACTGCTACCAAACAATGCCATCACTAGGAAAGATCTGCCATTGTCACCTTGATTTTTACATCACTTCCACCCCAAAAGACACACTGAAGAGCACCTCCAAGCCTCACTAACACTGCCAACTCTGTTGCTGCCACCGCTCTGCTAGTCACCAAACAACTGATTGGCACATCAGCTATTCTTTGCGATCTGCAATTATTTTTAAAGTATTAATCTGGCCCTTTCTTCTCTACAAATTGCAGTGTCCTGGACAAAGATATGATGTTAGTTTGGTACTTGAGTAAGACGTTTGGGACATGCTTGAATTTTGGAGATGATACCTGTGGAATGAATTTTTTTTACTGTCAGTGAAAAAGATTTGTTGAATAATTTGAAATTTCTCATGTGCTTCTTTTCTTCACTTCTTACTATTATCGATATATGAAATGTTACTTTGTAACTGCTATCTGAATATACTATTTTTAAAATGCATTAAAAGCTGTTAATATATCTCAAAATAAGTTGCCACAATTACTTTTATTCATAACTAACCAGTACTAAAAGATCTGCTGTCAACATAATTTCCTTAGATTTCTAAAACCATCTGTTGATTTATTATTTTTGCTTTGGCTTTATGCAAGGTTGGAAAAGTCCACTTTTCTTGCTGTTATGTTATAATGCTGATTGGTTGAATTTGCCTTGTTAAGTGAGATTAATAGAGTTTGACAGCATCTTGAGTTAGGGGCAATCATGTCCATTGATATTAAACAGTTGGCCATTTACAATGCTGTCCTTTGGCATGAATAGTCTTCTTAGTTGAAATAAGTTAGAAATTCTGATAAGCCCAGAAATAAATCAGTATATGAGCTTGAGTATGGATGGCAGAGCATGTATTTTACATATAAGATCACTATCTTATAGTGTTATTTGAATCTACAGATTGTTTATTCTACACATTCTAAAATAAAATTGGACATGATTTGCTGAAAGCAGAAAGGAATTGTTGGGAAGTCCAATTTTTTGAAATGGAGTTTAAAATCAAACTTGACACTTCTGCAATATTTTGATGGATTTGCTTACACATAAATTTTGCATTCTTTCTTAATAAATGAAATTACGACACATTTACATGTTTCATTGATCTATGACTACAGCTATACATACACAGTTTCTTTTGGAAAATTGTTTTCATTCAAAGTAGTCATGAACTTGTACATTCGGTTGAAATTCAGTTAGAGCTTTTTCAGGATTATACCGGTAGTTTAACAATAATTTCATTAAATATTTCCAAATATCAAAATAACTAGTTGCAATTGCAGAAATGAGAAGAGTGAGTAATTCATATTTTTATTTGCTCTGTCTAAAACATGAGCCCAAGGTATTTAGAGGCAGAAGTTGTAGTTGTTAGAAAAAATACTTTTACAGTTCATCACACTGCAGTTCCTAATTCTTATTATTGCCATTGATTTTATTCTTTTTTAAAATGGAAATTACTGTGATTCTGCAATTGTTCACCATTCTATATTTTTACTTTGTTGCTTGGAAATAGCCTTAAAAGCTACTTCTTTCACACATTACCTTTTTTTTGGCCATGATCATGCTGCTCACAATCATTTTTTCTTTGTCTTTCTGTTTCCCTCTTATCTATGTCCAAAGGTTCAGATCACCAGTTCCATTCTAAGGCAGATGTGCTGCTGTGTCCTCTGCCTAGTCTTGTATGTAGACTCTGAAACAAGTTAGAATTCTACATGGTGTACCAAAACTCTGGTCACCCAGAATAAAAGGAAAAATGAAATTCTGAGAAAGATAACAACAAGACAATTGGTTGAGCTGAGGGCCTCGTTAGTGTATCAGGAAACAAACTGAAAAGATAACACATGTATAAATTGATTACTCATGAGCCCAAGGGTGATTCCATGTTTCTCTAAGAGATTGTACCAGTGGTGGGTTCCTCCCAGTTCGGTCCGGTTCTTCCGAGATGGTAGCGGTGACGATATGACATCACTGAACCGGTTCTGCCCCCCCGCACCCCCCATCCACCCCCGCGTTATTCTTACCTTTTATTTGGCCCCACCCCCAATCTATTGCTGCCTCCTGAGTCCCAGCTGATGGCTAGAGGGAAAAAAACTGTTTAAACTCTTGCCCTGGGGCTTCAAAGGGCCGCCCTACAGCTGATCAGTGTTAAAAGAAAACAAATGAATAGATCAGTGCCTGCAAAAATAAATGGGTAGATCAGTGCCTGCAAAAATATATGAGTAGATCAGTGCCTGCAAAAATAAATGAGTAGACCAGTGCCTGCAAAAAATAAATGGGTAGATCGGTACAGCTCTGAAAGCAGTTAAAAGCCTGGTAGACCAGTACCTCTGCTAAATCCTAAATAATTGTCACATGACCATCAAGCCACGTCCACAAAATAAGCCACACCCACAGAACTGGTGGTAAAAAATTTTAGAACCCACCCCTGGATTGTACATATGTGTTTGAACACGTTACACAAATGTGCTTTAAATGCGTTGTGAGGATATAGCACTGAGAATCATATCAAACACTATAATATTAGCACTAGCAATAGCACTTAGACTTATATACCACCCCATAGTGCTTTACAGCACCCCTCTGTGCAGTTTAAAATGTCAGCGTATTGCCTTCAGCAATCTGGAACCTTGGAAGGATAGAAGGCTGAGTCAACCTTCAGCCGGTCAGAATCGAATTCCTAGCCGTGGGCAGAGTTTGCTTGTAATACTACATTCTAACTAGAGGTGGTATTCATTCAGCAGGTTCTGACCAGTTCTGGAGAACCGGTAGCGGAAATTTTAAATAGTTTGGAGAACCAGTAAATACCACCTCTGACTGGCCCTGCCCCCATCTATTCTCTGCCTCCCAAGTCCCAGCTGATCAGGAGGAAATGGGGATTTTGGGTGGGGTGGGAATGGAAATTTTACAGTATCCTTCCCCTGCCACCTCCACCAAGCCACGCCCACCAAGCCATGCCATGCCACCAAGCCACACCCACAGAACTGGTAGTAAAAAATTTTGAATCCCACCACTAATTCTAACCACTGCGCCAGCAGGGCTCATCACTCCCACATTTAATCAGCAAATAAATTATGCAAAACAAAATACATTCTAGGTCCTACTTAAAACATTATACACCAATGTTTAATTCATGATTACAAATGCTCTTGAAATAATTAGTGTTTTGTCAATTCGAATTCATCTGTGAAAAACATAGGTTTAATGAAGACTGTAATAGATGAAGTGCAGGTAGTCATTGACTTACCATCACAATTGAGACTGGAATTTTGATCACTAAGTGATGTGATCATTGAATCAGTACGTGACCAGACCTGATTTTACTACCATTTTTACTGTTGTTGTTAAGTGAATCACACAGTGTTAAGTGAATCCAGTTTCCCCAATTGACTTCGTTTGTCGTAAACTGACTGGGAAGGTTGCAAATCACAATCATATGACTACAAGATGCTGCAACTGGATCATTTTAAAGACATGACCGCAGGGTTGGTGCAACAGTCATAAGTCACTTTTTCCCAGGCTGTCGTTACTTTGAACCATCATTAAATGCACAATCACAAGTCAAGAGCAACCTGTAAGTCCCTACATGTTTAGAAAAATATGAAAGATGGGACCTAATATTTATATGTCTTCAAATACTGAAACGTTATTTTGACAATGATCATGACAACGATTGTGAAGCCTTGAGGCATCAAAGTGCACTTAGTATGGCCATTGCTGAGAATTCTGGGTATTGAAGTCCATACGAAACTGCCTTCCCAAACCTTATTGCCATTTAATTTGTCATGACATCCATATTCTGATACACTAAAGTTCACTACGGAAACTCTAGACTCCCCCAGTAGTTTACTAAATGTAAGTTGGCTGTCTTCTGAATCTGCATTGTTAAATGACCTTCACTGTTAAGTGACCTTCACTTAACACTATTTTTATATTTTAACTAGCAGCAGCAAGATACACTAATGTTCGTTTATTCTTTTCCTCCTGGCTTCTTTTATTTCCTTTCTGCTTTTGCCAAATTATTTAGGAGAAGAGTGTAAATTGAAGCCATTTATCTTGAAATGTGCCATTGCAGCAGACTGTTTATACAAGTGTAAGAAATTGTAACATGGAAATATTTGGTCTGGTCTGAAAGGATTTTTTTTTTTAAACAAACTTTGTACATGCGGAATTTTTGATATGATACTGAAAATGCATGTATTTAGCACAAATGGACTTGTGATTTGCCTTTGCAGTATGGAAACTTTTTTTTTTTAAAGTAAGGAAAATGTATGTGGCTTTTTTTGTACTGTACACTCTCTTTTGCACTCTCTTAAAGTTGCTTCAGCTCTTAATAAACTATAGCATATTCCATGCATGTGGGGAAATTTATTGGGGAGCCTGTGAGCTTTTAGAATATGTATAAAGAGTCAATCCTTGCTGGCTAATCCCAGGTTGTAAATATTTGTCTGTCAGTTGGTGGGCGAGTGAGTCGGGAGTTAAGTTACACACGGCAGAAGATTGGAGAAGAGGCCATGTTTAATCCTCAACTGATGATTCAGACACCACAAGAAGAGACTGCTAATGTACTAACAACCGAAGCACTCAGACAGCACCTTGATTCTGCACTACAAGCCAGCAAGATACATGTATATATGTACAACAGGTAAGATGGGAAGAAAAAAGAAACATCATCATAGCATTTTCTGCAGTAACGTATGAATCAGAATTCATTCAGAAGAAATTCAGAAGCTCCCTAGAAGTTTCTTTTATTGTAGGAAAAGAGCTTCCTTGAACATTTGCTTTTCAACATTTGCAAAGTTACTAGTTTCCCTGGAGAGCTACTTTGAACGAAGCCCAGATGACTGAGACATTTGTTAAGTGACTTTTGCCCCATTTTACAACCTTTCTTGCCACAGTTGTTAAGTGAATTACTGCAGTTGTTAAGTTGGTAGTAAGGTTGTTAAGTGGCTTCCCCATCGACTTTGCTTGTCAGAAGGTCACAAAAGGTGATCACATGACCCTGGAACACTGCAGCCATCATAAATATGAGTCAATTGCCAAGTATCTGAATTTTGATCTCGTGACCATAGGGATGCTGCAACAGTTGGAAGTGTGAAAAACAGTCATAAGTTACTTTTTTCAGTGCCGTTGTAACTTTGAGCGGTCACTAAATGAACTGTTGTAAGTCGAGGACTACCTGTACTGTTTGCCTGTTTCAGCCTTAATTTTTCAGTTCAGGGGCAGTTAAAAAAATGTCAACATGAGAGTTTTCATATGGTTTCAGCTACCATCCTGATTTTGTGGAGCCCCGTTGCCTCTGACCCTGTTTCTTTTGGCAACTGAGAACTGGGGAAAATCTTGATTTAGCCACATCTCTAGATGTTCATCATAGTTTACAATGTCTGAAACCATTGGGCTTCAGCTATTAAGTTAAAAAAATAATCTTTTATTTTTGTCATAAAACATATTCAAAGTATAACTTTGGACTGTGTTGGGTTGCTGACATATCTAGTATAAACAGGTCCCTGTTGTGGGAGTCAGTAATATTAAACAATGGTTTAAGCTAGTATTAAAGCACAAATTTCAACTTATCTTGAAGGGATCTTACAGTGAGTTTGTTTTGTAAAGTTCAGAACTGTTTTTGATCCAATGTAGATAAACGCTCAGCATAAATTTTCTCTGACATACTGGAAGGATTCAACGCAGCAGGGACTCCTTTGCATTCACCAAGCGGTAAAGAGAATGGGCATTTTAGCTACAGCATCCTTCTACGGCCTAATAACCTCCAGATGTGCCAGAGTTCTATGTTCTTTAGCAGACATGAGATGTAGCTCACATTTGGAGCGTACCAGTTTGGGAAAGGCTGACCTACAATATTGCAAATTTAATTTCCATTAATCTTGCCTGGTGGTTTCTGAGAAATATGAATTGCATGGTTAGAATCATGAAGTATCCTCAATACTAGAGGCCATCAAAACCTAACTATTATTGCTGTCGTAATGAGATTATCCCCACACGTGAACTAATTTAATTCAAATGACAGCATGTCCTAAGAGTGGCAAAAAAGAAACTTTGAAAATACAGGTAATCCTCAACATATGACCATTTGTTAATGTAATTTTGCTCTTCGTTTCCACAGACAATGGAAATTGGAACACTTATGTCACAAATCAGGGGAACCCATCACAGAAACCGGTTACATGGACAAGGTAAAGACAATGTATTTATTATATATATATATATATATATATATATTTATTTATTTATAACCTGCCTTTATTATTTTTACAAATAACTCAAGACAGTGAACATATCCAATACATCTTCCTCCTCATATTTTCTCCACAACAATCCTGTGAGGTGAGTTGGGCTGAGAGAAGAATGACCAAGTCTCACCCAGCTGGCTTTCATGACTAAGACGGAATTTGAACTCAGGGTCTTCTGTTTTCTAGCCTGGTGCCTTAAACACTAGACAAAATTGGCCCTCATGTATTTTTATGTATATTTCTGTAGACATATAACAATATGTTAAGGGGTTTCTTTTCTGTCTCTTTTACAGATTATAGAACATCTTTACCCTTGTTTAATTATCACACCACTGGACTGCTTCTGGGAGGGTGCAAAGTTACAGTCTGGGACTGCATATTTACCGTAAGTAAAGTGTGTTGGTTTCTAATTTGTTTTACCAGTTTAATGGGGCTTCACTCAGCTACAGTTTATTCTGATGTTGGACTGAACACAAAATGTGAGGCCTTCTAGACAAATATGCATACAGATATCTATTCCGCATGCTTTTCTCTTTAAAAGAGATGTTTAATTACTAAATTAACATCCCATCCGATTATGTTATCTGTTTTGAATGCAAATACATAGGAGAATTGACATCTGAACCAGCACATTTGCAAGTATAGGTGCGGCAATTTCCTGTAGCAGCTTATTATTTTTAGCTTCCCTTCAAAGTGTATCGCCACACAGATGTTGCTTCTTCGCATATATGATTTTAGCTTTAGGGATAACCTGATTATTTCATCGGGATCAATATGAACAACAGATGTGAGCCAAACTTAAGTTACTTCAGTTTTATTCTCAGTAAATTCTATCACTATCAGTGATTTAATTTGGATTGAGGTAGGGTATGCATTGAAGTTGGACGTTGTAAAACAAAACAAAAAAAAATCAAGCTGGCAGCCACAATCATATGATTGGAGTTGTATCACATTTTACATGCATGTCACAATACATGCAAAGGACAGGACATTGATCACACTGCTGCAGCTGCCCTCTTGATTTGTTGACACTTTCCCCTACCCCATCTCTGGTCCTTGGATATCCTTGGCTTCAGCCCTGTATCTGAACGAGATTGTAATTAGAATTGATACTGACATGATCATCTCAGTTCAAGGGATTGCACTGAATTATTGACTCCCCCTCACTCCCCAATTTTCTGGCTTAAATACTTTTATTTAAGAGAAATTGGAATTTCAATCTTCTTGGAACATTTTTATTTTATCACTTAAAACTAGTGCAGAAATCCTACAGATTAGTCATTGGTTTGTCACCAAATTTGGGGCAGAATCTCAGGACCACAAAAAGAGTCAGTGATTTGAATATTTACTTTTTTAAAATGTTTACACTATACTGTCAACATATGCTTATGAGAGAAAGAGCAAAAGTCCCAATTAACTTCATAGTTTTTTTTCATTTCTCAAAGGCAACATTCTCACTGTTATATAATGGTTATTTGTGATTGTATTTGAGGAAATAAAACATGAAATGAAAAATATGATGGCAGCAGGTAGAAGCTATGTTTTCTTTATCAGGCCTTTTAGTAGCATGAAATCTCTTCTTTTGGATATTGTTACTTTCAACATGTTCTATATTTTAAAACATTTAAATTCATTTAGGTTAATTGCATAGCTTATTTGTATGGTGTAGGCTTTGCCCTTGTTTGTCTGTCTTTGTAAAGGCAACATGCAATGGCTATCGCTTAACTTTCAGTGTGGACTTCTTAAAACGGGACAATGAAGGAGCTTGCGTTTTCTGGTTGGGAGAGTCTGAATAATATCTTAAGCCTGGTTAAGCAGATACAGTAGTCTGAACCAGAAAAAAGTCAGGCAAAAGCCTTTATGGTCTGGCAACATCACAAAATCAAAAGTGGAAATGAAAAAAATAGCAGCAGAGGTTCAGGCGGATTTTAAAAGGTTACCATGTCTGAAAGAGCACAGTGTTTTTATTTTTTTTGTGTGTTTTTGATTAATGTATGGCAAATATTTTAAAGAATGCAATTCATAATATCATATGAACTTCTCTCTGATACTTGAACATTTCCTTTATTTGTGACTGCTGAATTCCCTATTTTTTCTGAATCATTTAGTTAATAAATTATTTGTCTAAAATTTCACTATACTTAAAATGCTAGTTCAGATACTAATTTTCTTGCTCATTTGATTATCAGTTCAATAAATGAATAAATAGTGGTGCAATGTAATAGCTGAGTTAAGAATCAAGACTTAACTACAATGTCTAAAATCCCTTCAAACGATTAGATTCAAGAAGCTCTGTTTACTAGCATTTACTTAGGCATGGATGTGATGCTCATATGAAGAAGACATTTTGTGGATGAAAAACAGCTTTAAGATAAAAATTTTCAGCAACTTTTTCCAAAAGACAAATCTTGTGGCAATGTTTTAAATACCATTACACACATTTCAGTAAACTTCGTTTCAAAAAAATATGAATGTGAGTAGGAGTGGAGAAACGGTAAATAAATATTTACAAAAGTTTGGCAACTTTTGATAACCTTTTCATTTTTCTCTTCATGGAACAGAGGAAAACCCCATTTGCAGTGGACCAACTTTGACCCCTTAGAATTCTTAGAGGAGCTGAAGAAGATAAACTCCCAAGTAGATACCTGGGAGGAGATGCTGAATAAGGCAGAAGTTGGCCATGGATATATGGATCGACCTTGCCTAAACCCTGATGATCCGGACTGTCCTATAACTGCCCCCAACAAAAATTCAACTAAAGTAGGTTAATCTTTCTTTTTTCAGCCAAATGAAAAAAAATGTGTTGAAAAAGCAGATTCTAATTCCATATCCTAAAATCATTGTCAACAATATGATGCAGTTTCAGGATAGCAGTATTTGAGCAAGATGCAAGATACAGCCTTAAGTTCAGAATTCGTAAAATGATGGTTGGTCACACCGACTTGAATTGTTCTGCTAACAGAAGAAAATAAGGCAATAATAAGGAAAGCATGACCATTTCTATGGCTTACTTAGCAGGAGCTCTAGACCAAGACACCTACTTATTCCTAATTTAACAAACAAGCTTCAAGGATTTAAGAACAAACAATAGCTTTGAAATGAACTTCAATATAGTATTATATTCTAAGTTTCGTACTGCAGAGAAAGGGATATTGGAATATTAATGCAGTTAGGTTTGCAAAGCCACTAAACACTCATCAATGTTAAATGATAGATGTGACTGTTTGTGAACAAAATTACTACCAATCAGGTTCTATATACAAATGCTGTAGTATCAAATAATGGGAATTTTTGTAGTTAACTTTACAATTTTCCAAAAGAGCATCTTTTTTATTTCAGGATACAAATACTAATATCTGAAATTGATATATTTGCATTTTATTCCGGATCATCTAAAGAACTTTATTCTAGCTTTTGAAATTTCCCCAAATATTGAGATTGAGGGAGGCTGAAGTATTGAGGGGGTGTTGCTTTAGGATACCAAGCACTGCTTTTTTTATTCGTTTTCTAAAATTGTTTTTGATATGAGTCTATTCTTGTTGCTGTAAGCAACCCAGAATTATGGTATATAAGATGAGTATCTATATTTTCTTAATATAACAAACAAATATTTATTCTACCACCTAGATTTATATTACAAGAAATTAAATACTTAAATTGAACTATAGGCCTTTTTTGTTCATTGAGATATTTAATGGACTATGCTATACTTATTTTTAAAGATGAATGTATTATTTATCTTTGTGCAAACTTTATAGTCAAAGCAAAATAGAAAAATTCAAAATGTCCATAATTTGGAGCTCCTTTATTTATTTATTTATTTTATTAAATTTCTATACCGCCCTTCTCCCGAAGGACTCAGGGCGGTGAACAGCCAAAAGATAAAACACAGAGATACAAAATTTAAAATAAATTAAAACAAATTAAAAAATTTGGCTAAATTTTAAAATATCCCATAATTAAACAAATTAAAATTAATGTTTAAAATTTAAATTTTAAAATTTTAAAAGGGAGAAGATTTAGGCCAGGCCAGCTTGATGAAATAAAAACGTTTTAAGCGCACGACGGAAGGTGCGCAGATCCGGGATCCTCCGTATCTCCGGGGGGAGCTCGTTCCAGATCGTAGGTCTGAGAAGGCTCTCCCCCTAGGGGCCGCCAGTCGACATTGTTTGGCCGACGGCACCCAGAGGAGTCCCTCTCTATGGGAGCGTACTGGCCGGTGGGAGGCTATTGGTGGTAGCAGGCGGTCCCGTAGATAACCAGGTCCTAAGCCATGGAGCGCTTTAAAGGTGGTAACCAGAACCTTGAAGCGCACTCGGAAGACCACCAGGAGCCAGTGCAGCTCGCGCAGGAGAGGTGTTACATGGGAGCTCCACGTTGCTCCCATAACCACCCGCGCGGCCGCACTCTGCACCAGTTGGAGCCTCTGAGTGCACCTCAAGGGGAGCCCCATGTAGAGAGCGTTACAATAGTCCAGACGAGAGGTGACGAGGGCATGAGTGACCGTGTGTAGGGAGTCCCGATCTAGAAAGGGACACAACTGGCGGATCAGGCGAACCTGATGAAAAATCCTCCCGGTCACGGCCGTCAAGTGCTCTTCTAGAGACAGCCGTGAATCCAGGAGGACGCCCAAGTTGCGAGCCCTTTCCGTGGGGGCCAATGATTCACCCCCAATAGTCAGCGATGGCACCAGCTGACTATATCGGGACGTTGGAAACCACAGCCACTCAGTCTTGGATGGGTTGAGCCAGAGCCTGTTCCTCCCCATCCAGATCCGTACGGCCTCCAGGCACCGGGACATCACTTCAAGGGCATCGTTGGGGTGGTCCGGGGTGGAGATGTACAGCTGGTGTCGTCAGCGTACTGATGGTACTTCACCCCGAAACCACGGATGATCTCGCCCAGCGGCTTTACATAAATGTTGAACAAAAGGGGCGAGAGGACCGATCCCTGCGGCACCCCACATATGAGGGGCCTCGGGGTCGACCTCTGCCCCCTTGTCAACACAGACTGCGACCGGTCGGAGAGAAAGGAGGAGAACCACCGTAATACGGTGCCTCCCACCCCCAACCCTTCCAACCGGTGCAGCATGATACCATGGTCGATGGTATCAAAAGCCGCTGAGAGATCTAACAGGACCAAGACAGAGGAGCAACCCCTGTCCCGAGCCCTCCAGAGATCATCAACCAACGCGACCAATGCCGTTTCCGTGCTGTACCCAGGCCTGAAACCCAACTGGAATGGATTTAGATACGACATTTCATCCAGGTACTGGGGAAGCTGTCGTGCAACCACACTCTCAACAACCTTCGCAACGAAGCGAAGGTTGGAGACTGGACGATAATTAGCCAATACTGCCGGGTCCAGGGAAGGCTTCTTGAGGAGAGGCCTCACCACCGCCTCCTTCAAGGCAGCGGGAAAGGCACCCTCACCCAATGAAGCATTTATAATCCCCTGGAGCCAGCCTCGCGTCACCTCCCGGGAAGCCAGTACTAACCAGGAGGGACACGGGTCCAACAAACATGTGGTCACGTTCAGTCTACCCAGAATCCTGTCCATGTCATCTGGGGTCACAGGATCAAACTCGTCCCAGATAACATTTTCAAGACCTGCCCCCGTCATCCTCGCTGGACCTACCCAGTCGGAGTCCAGACCTTCCCGAATCTGAGTGATTTTGTCATGCAGATATTGAACAAAGTCCTTGGCTCTTCCCTCCAAGGGGTCCTCCCGCGCTTCCTGGTGGAGCAGGGAGCGGGTCACCCTAAACAGGGCGGCTGGGCGATTATCTGATGACGCCATAAGAGCAGCACAATGAGTACATTTTGCTGCTTTTATCGCCACTAGGTAATTCTTAATATGAGATCTTACCAGTGTCCGGTCCGATTCAGAAAGACTAGCCCTCCAACTACTCTCTAGGCGTCTTTTCCGGCGCTTCATCTCCCTCAGCTCCTCAGTAAACCAAGGAGCCAGGTGAGAACGGCGCTGGGTCAGAGGCCGCAAAGGCACGACTCGATCCAGAGCTCCAGCGGCCGCTCTATCCCAAGCGGCCACTAGGTCTCCAGTCGAGGTGTGTGCAAGATCCTCGGGGATTGGCCCAAGCTCCCTTTGGAACCTATCAGGTTCCATCAGGTGCCTGGGGCGGTACCATCTTACCGGTTCCGCCTCCCTGCGGTGGGGTACCGCAGTTCAAAGGTCAAGGCGAAGGAGAGAGTGATCCGACCATGACAAGGGCTCAATGACTATGTCCCCTATCTCAAGATCACTCAACCACTGTCCAGAGACAAAAACCAGGTCCAGTGTGTTTCCCCCCCTGTGCATAGGGCCATGAATTAGCTGGGTCAGGTCCATGGCCGTCATGGAAGCCATGAACTCCCGAGCCACCTCAGATGCCTCACCGCGGACGGCAGGTTGAAATCCCCCATGACCATAAGTCTGGGGGTATCAACCGCCACCGCGGCGATAACATTGAGTATCTCGGGCAGGGCTGCAGCCACGTGGCAGGGAGCCAGGTACGTGATCAACAAGCCCATCTGAACCCCATGACCCCACTTCACAAGGAGGGACTCACAACCGGCTGTCTGAGGCCTTCACTAATAATAACCGCTACTCCCCCTCCCCTCCCCTGAGGCCTCGGCTGATGGAATGCGTGGAAGCCTGGTGGGCACATTTCTACCAGAGGGACCCCTCCCTCCGGGCCCAACCAGGTCTCCGTAATACCCGCCAGGTCCGCTCCCCCCTCCTGAATAAGATCACAAATGAGGAGGGCTTTATTTACTACAGACCTGGCGTTGCATAACATCAGTCGAAGGCCCGGGCCCTGAGGGTCTGTGCAACCTGGAAAACGAGTGGAGCTATGGGGGCCGGAATGCCCTACCGCTTGAAGACAGCGGGTGCGTGCTCCCTTAACATGATATGGCCCCCTACTCCCGCCATATCTACCCCTCCCACTCACAGTACCAATGATGGAAACACAGTCTGGACAAGCTTGACCCCCCTGTTACCCCCGGATCCCCCCCACCCCCCGCCGCACATCCTGGCCCGGTCCGACCCTCCCCTAAGTGGGTTATCCCCCTACCCCCTGGTAGAGAGGAAGTAGACAGGGTATGAGTGACTTCTCTAAAGATTTTACTGTGTTGCTGGAGTGAAGTTTCCTTTTTTCTCTCTTGATTCTCTGCTTTTATTATTGTTGTTGTTGTTCTTGCTTAATAAATTTTCTAGGGACAACACGGGGCAGCTGAAGTTTATTTGCTGCCTAAGCTAGAAAAATAAATGGCTTCCTTTCATACAGACTGCAGTTACCAAAAATAATCATGTTGTTTTGCCACATGAATCAGACAATCCCTCAAATGCTGCATCCTTAGCAATAACAGTACTAGAGCAGACTAAATCAGCCTTTGCTAGCTTTTCATGACAACCAAAATCTACTACCTAAGGCAGCTACTTCTCTCTACTTAGAGGTAAAACCACCTGGAAAAAGATAAAAATGTACAGCTACCAACTTGAGAGAAAAGCCAAAACTACATCTGCCAAAATCAATCCTGGTAGCATGAAAATACTTCCATAAAGAACATTCTTGCTCTCTCCCCACCCCATTTACAGTTTGCAACCAGAGCAGGATTTGCAGGATTTATGCATATTAGAACACTTACCTTTAGGGGTATGCAAAGTGGTATCAGTGATCCTCCAAAAATGTGAACTTTCCTGTCTTTGATTCTGTAACACCTTCTTTTATTTTTTTAAAATATTTTCAGCCTCTTGATGTCGCCCTTGCTTTAAGCGGTGGATGCTATGGGTTGTCAAAAAAATATATGCATTGGCAAGAAGAACTGATTATTGGTGGCACTGTTAAAAATGATACTGGGAAACTTGTCAGGTAAGCACTCCTAATCCAGTAATTCTTGCCTGGGACATCCTGGTTTGGGTCTGCACATTCTCTAGGCTGCACTATGGTTTGGATGGTCTTGGCTTAGACTCTTGTGTCAACCTAGCCATTTGTCTCCCTATGTCATGGCTTATAACTTAGTGCTATATTTGAACCTAGTCAACTGTTCTTAGTCAACAGATCTTGCTTTAAACAAACCATGGCTTAATGTGAAATGTAAATCCAGTTACTGTTTTCTTTTGACAGAAAACCTTACTGTCAGTAATGTGAGATATTTTTTTCTTCCATTCAGTCATATCCAGTTCTTGGAGACTGCCTGGACAAGTCCCTGCAGTTTTCTTGGCAAGGTTTTTCAGATGTAGTTTGCCATGGCCTCTTTCCTATGAGAGAAACTGACTGGCCAAAGGTCACCCAGCTGGCTTTGTGCCTAAGGCAGGATTAGAACTCACAGTCTCCTAGTTTTTAGCCTGATGCCTTAGTTAGATAAGACAACCTATATTGTCATTTTTCAGCATACACAATGGCACACATTACAGTAAAATTTCAATGCCCGCTCTCGAAAGAAAAAAACACCACACATCAAACAATGTCCCCGTCTGAAGGATAACAATAATACTATACCAAATTGACTCTCAGTGAGAATATTATTATTTATTATACCTACAAAATGAATTTTTGTTTATGAGATAATGGGAATAATGTTCAGTAAAAATATTAAAATTAAAGACCTCCTAAGTACATATAATGCCAAGAAAAAAAAGAACATGCAGCATATGATTTAAATCAGAGAGCAATAGTTTGAAACAAAGTGTATCTCCCATTTGAGCTCTAGTAGTTTTATTCTTTTTCTATATGTACATTAAGAGGCCATGACACCTATGTAGCGTAGGGTTATCTTTTGGTGACTAATGATTATTTGATTCATTGGAGATTTTGGTCTCTGGAATAGGATGGAGATGACTTTGTTACCTCTCCCCAGTGTCCCCATCACATGCAATTACAAAGGATCACCCATCTCCCCCTTCTGGACCGAAGATGAGAATCTATTCAGTGATAGAAACTTCTGTTGGATCCTGTTGCATATGGAAGGATCTCATTTACTGCAACTGTGTTAATTTGTGTATTTTTTATGCTTCATGAGGGGGGAAAAGTTCACTTTAAGTCTTCCATTTTTTTCAGATTGCTTGCCAACCAAACCATCTCCTTGAAAGGTGTGACTCCTCTATAGGGTCTGCTACTTTGTGAATGGCGCCTTATTTAATTTATACAGAGAGATTGGACATAAGAATACTGAATCAGATCAGCCCTTTAATAGAGAAACTGGGTGGTAGCTCATAGACTTTCTATATTCCAATGTCTCGACATCAGTCTTATATTTCCTTAAGATAGGATCAGCTTTATTTATCCAGATATAAGAAGATAGAGGTTTTAAAATGGGAATGTCTGACTTTGACAACTTTAAGACCTGTGGACTTCAACTCCCAGAAACTGGAGAATTCTGGGAGTTGAATGTCCACAAGTCTTAAACTTGCCAAGCTTGGAAACCCCCAGTTTATAATTTAGATTTTTCCTTTCATTTTAAACACCATAAATGGTTCTTAGTCAAATAGAATGTGTAGAGCAATTATGAAAAAAAAAAATGAAAAAAATGGCTTTCTGCTCAGTTCAACCATTAATCACTCTGGCCTTCTGCTGCCCATAAGGGAGAGGGTTTTTTTGGTTGTCCCTTTCTCCTTCTAAGTCCACAATTCTGTCTTGCAGTGCTCAGGCTTTACAGACCATGTTTCAGCTAATGACTCCAAAGCAAATGTATGAGCACTTCAAGGGTTACGACTACGTTTCGCACATCAACTGGAATGAGGACAAGGCAGCTGCAATCCTGGAAGCATGGCAGAGGATGTATGTTGAGGTAAAATGGACGTTTAATTGGAGAACGGTTTCTTTCTTTCATTGTAAACCCTACTAGGTCTTGTTGTTGCAGTCCCTCGGAAATGTCCCTTGAGGTAGTGAATCTTGTTAGGATCGGTATACTCTTCCATTATAGTCAGTCTTCTCTCTAAGCTAGAGACTGGAGATACTACTATGTGTTGGAACTCAACCCCTGTCATTCCCAGCCGGTATGCTGGCTAGAAAAGAGGCAAGTGGAAATCCAACATTTCTGGGAGATTCTGCTTAGGACTGACTGATTAAGAACTTTTTTTTAAAAAAAAAAGAAGAAAAAAATACATTAAAAAAATCTGCCAGCAAGGTTTGAAGGAAACAATGCAGGTTGGTTGGTTGGTAAAATGAAAGAGAAATGTGTTTTTGTTAGAATGTGTGGCTTTTAAAATTCATTGTCTTGAGTTGCTGATCTGACTCTGGGGCTGCCAAAGCTTAAGGAGAAAAAGTGAGCATTTGGTTAGGATGATTCTTTTTTTTTTTTCTCCCCTCAGCAAAGGTGTCTGGAAAACATTAGCCCGCCACAAAATCTGTTCACAGCTGCAGTCCCCTTGGTGAGGTCATGTGACATTATCTGGCCTTTGTTTCCCAGGCATTGACCTTTGCTGAGCTGCTTGTGACCTCTTTGAAGTGTCCAGCCAATGAAAAAAGAGAGGGCTACTCTTAAGAATTTGTTGTTTTTAGATTGGGTATAACAACAAATCAGTTGTAGGCTTCTGGATGGAATGCAGAAAAGGGTGCAGGAGGGGCCGAGTGAGCTGTGAGCCTTCTTCAGTTTCACTATTTAAAATAAATGGCCGTTTTCCTCCCTTTCAAGGTGTACCTTCTTATTTGATCTGTAGCAGCCTGCTGCGGCTCCGCATTGAGTATGGCAATTATATTAACAAAGGGTCAAGGATGCAACTGTAGTGTTTGTAGATGAGAGCGCCTGTGTGTGAGTGAGAAGGGAGGGCAACAGACAAAGAGAGAGCGACAACTAAAAAGTTAGTGCTCAGTAGAAATTTGCTCCAGAAATATAGGTAGTCCTCGAGTTACCACAATTGAGCCCAAAATTTATGTTGCTAAGTGAAATATTTGTTAAATCAGATTGCCCCATTTTACAACTTTTCTTGCCACAGTTGTTAAGCAAATCATGGCATTTGTTGAGTTAGTAACATGGTTATCAAGTGAATCTGGATTCCCCATTGACTTTGCTTGCCAAAAGGTCGCAAAATGGGATCACATGACCTTGGGACACTGCAACCGTCATAAATATGAGTCAATTGCCCAGCATCTGAATTTTGATCATGGGACTGTGGGGATGCTGCAATGGTCGTAAGTGTGAAAAATGGTCATAAGTCAGTTTTTTCAGTGTTGTTGTAACTTTGAACGGTCACTAAATGAACTGTTGTAAATTGAGGACTACCTGTATATTGTGGTGACTTCCTTTCTGTAATTACAACTCCCATCTTGTTTTCATAGGTTGCTCATCAAAGTCTTGCACAAAACTCTACTCAGAAGGTGCTTTCCTTTACGACAACAACTCTGGAGGACATCCTAAAGTCATTTTCTGACGTCAGCGTCATCCGAGTTGCTAGCGGCTATCTATTAATGGTAAATTAGGTTTAATATTCATTTTATTCTTCCTCAGTTTTCTTCAAGCTCATGCCATCCAGATCTGGAAAGGAGACCAGGCTGGAGAAATCTGTAATTCATGATATACCACTACATGAGTCTTTTATGCTAAGATGTCATACAAATCATCCTTACAATGTTTTTAACAGCCTTAAAATCTGCATTTTTATGCCACTTGCTCACTTATGTCTCTGATCCATGGAAGATCTGTGGCTCATTAGCGTGAGCACAAAGTTGGCTTGGGATGGGGCCACGGGGTTGTTCTTTGTGGTTTCCTCTTAAATGGTTACAGAGCCGAAGAGATGTTTGTTTGAGATGTGTGGAGGTGGGATTCAGACTTAATGACAGGATCAGACAAGCAAAGCCATTGCTCTATCTCACTGCTGAGCGGTGCCTTCCAATATCTGTGTTCCATTAAAATTATATTTTGTTGTTGAAAATTTTGGTCAGGAAAAGGAAACATAAAACTGGCTTTCTCTGATGTCAGGCCTCATTTGGAGGAAAAAAATATTCTTTTGTTTTCCTTACAGCTTGCCTACGCCTGCTTAACCATGCTGAGGTGGGACTGTGCTAAATCCCAGGGTGCTGTGGGTCTGGCAGGAGTCTTGTTGGTTGCTCTCTCGGTAGCTGCCGGATTGGGACTGTGTTCCTTGATTGGGATTTCCTTTAACGCTGCCACAACTCAGGTATTAAACGAACCATTTGCAAGTTGATGCACTGCGGTGTCTCCTATTGAGGGCTGTGTATTCATGGGGGAGGAGGATGATTTTAAGAGAACAACCCTCAGAAGTTTGAATTAATATGTTTACCTAAAACCAGTCATAGCTGTGGTTATTTAAGCCCAGAAGACTTCTGAATATGGCATATGGTTCTATGGGATGTATATTTACATTTCACACACACAACAAAATTGCAGCTTTTGGCATGGCATGTCAGAGGAAAACAGGGACAAAAAGGGCTTTATAATTTGCACTGAAATTTTTGAAAGGCACTCGTTGTTAACTGCAGAATAAAGAGGGGAAAGGCTGAATATTCAAGACCTGCGCTGAAATTTTCAGTGACCCAGGAAATTCAAATTGTCCTTGAATAAGCCCTGTTTCCAAAGGCAGGGTGTGCAAACATATGTGCTGTGAAAATGCATACCGTGACACAATTGGCTAAAATCTTCTCTCCAGGAAATTATTATAATGTGTGGGTAATCGACAGATTCATAGTCTAAGACTATTAGATTAATAATAAGCTTAATAATTAAAGTCCTAACGAAGGACCTACAAATTATTAAGATAATGTCTAAGAATGTAGGTTGCGTTAAGCCAGGTGGGTAGACGATTGTTTTTTCTTTTTTGTAAAAATAGGGTGTTTGGGACTGATAATTTGAATATTTCCAGATATTCCAGTGCTTTAGTTATTGCTGTGAGGGCTCCAATCACAATTGGTATAACAACAGATTTCTTTTTCCATAAGATTCAGCTGCAATCTGCAAATCCTGGTATTTTGAATTTTTTTCCAATTGTTTTTCCTCAATCCTAGCATTATCCAGAATAGCTACATCAATGAAGCTGACTTTCTCCTTTTCAATAACTCTTATACATCAGGCATGTTATGAACAAGATGCCTGCCTGTTTGGATCTTAAACTTCAGTAATATCTTAATTCTGCTCATTTCCCAAAACCTTCTCAATATGAAGGTTTCAGTATTTTTACTACATTCAAATCCAAACCCCTGGCAAAGTCTCCAGGAATAATTTTAGCAACTCAGTCATAATGCTGCTTGTAGTCGGTTTGTGAAATTTTGCTGCAGCCGTTGATCAAGTGGTCAGTTGTTTCATCCTTTTAACTACAAAGGAGACATGTTGAGTTTTAGCCTTTATGTAATTAGATGGCAAACAAAGCTTCTTCTTGAGCTGCTAAAATAAAGCTTTCAGTTTCTGAAGACAGCAAACTAAAATGAGGGAAAAAGAGATACTGCAATACATAGCATCCAATATTAGTTGCTCAAAGCAAGTGACTCATTTAACTGGATTGTAAAAATAGCTTTTGGTTCTCATGAATCCACACAAAAACCTGTTACTTTCTACTGGGCCTAACAATATGATGAAGATCAGTATCTGAAGAGAAACACTCAATGGTGTAAATAATTATGTGCATAAAGAATTGTGACCTCCTAACTGCAATAACCTCAAGATTTCTGCTTATGCCTAAAGTCAAGTGTAAGATTGCACTTCTTTGTCTTACTTCATTAACTTGTTCTTTGGTTATAAAATAGTTGTTGCTGACTGTCTCCTTTTATGCAGGTTTTACCCTTTCTTGCTCTTGGAGTTGGGGTAGATGATGTCTTTCTTTTGGCACATGCATTTAGTGAAACTGGGCAGAATAAGAGAATTCCATTTGAGGTAAATTAAGATATTTCTTACATTGCTTTAAGCATTCAGCAAGCTCATTAAATCTATACTTTAGTTTTTCAATTAGCAGCTGACAACATAAATAATTTCTTATGTTGCACCAGTTTATTTATTTTGGAACTATGCAGAGTAAACTAATAGCAGTATAAATGACTGGAAACTGTCAAATAGTTTTCCCAATTAACTCAACCTTTTTGACAAAAATCAGTAACTTAATTGGCATTATCAGCAGAGACGTATATATATTTGACTAGCTGATAACTCGGCATTGTCCGGGTATTTATGTATCCCAATCTTTGCAGGCTTTTAAAAGTATATGTACATTATAAAGTAAAATCATACACAAAATCACTATAAGTCTTTGGGCCCCACCCCCTGCCCACCCCCACCGGTAACCACTATCTGGTGCCCGGCGGCATTGGGGCTGCATATGGCTGGCCGCCACGGGCCGCCACCCATCTGGCAACAACAGTCCTCGCTGTCCGGAATGGCCAGTAGGTGGCGCTTGACCGCTGCGGAAGGCCGCTGGGACCGATCAGCTGGGCTGCACGGCTGCTATATTCACCCCGAGGGGTGTTAGGGGTGTATTTTTTTCTAGAGACTAAGTCATCTGTGTACCAAGTTTAATTGAAATTGATCGAGGCGTTCCAGAGTTATGCTGGAACATACACACACACACACAGCCATTTTTATATATATAGAAGATTAACGCCTCCCCCCACAGAAGAATCTGGAAATATGATTAGTATGTTATTTTAGAGAAATGAAATGCTGATTACAGATTATATTTGTTGTCAGTTTGTGATTATTTGCCAAAGTAGTTGTTATTCTTCAAAAAGGTTATTTGGATAAATTGAATTGAAATCTCAATCATTCTCCCAAGTTTTTTGAGAACTGATATTCTATTTTGCATTCTGCAATCAGGCTATTTCTTCTATAGTCTATTTTGGAAATTAAGAAGAAAGTTGTTTGTAGTAACTTTCCATTTAGTTTTCCATTTCTATGTACAGTTGAATCTGATGCAAAAGCATATATTATTAAATATAATAGCATTTCCATAACCTTTAACTGGGCAAAACAACTGGGCCAGCCATTCTTTCTCAGCCCAATCCACCTCACATGATTGTAGTTGTGAGGAAAATAGGAAGAGGATGGAGCATTATGTATGTTCCCTGCCTTGAGTTACTTATAAAGTAATAAAGGTGAGAATAAAAATCTAATAAAAAGAAATTTAAACCAAGATACTTCCAATTGACTGATTTACAGAATGTGTCCAAAATCTGAGACCCATGACTCCTGTGGAATTGAAATTTTATAAAACAGTTTATGACATAAAAATTATATGACTGCCGCCCGCCCACCCACCCACCCACTCAAAAAAACAACAATCCCCCCTCCAAAACAAAAGACCTTCCACTAATCATTAAAAATGGCTAGTTCTCTTCTGTCAAACTTGTGGTATACAAGGTTGCTGCTAAATAGCTAATTTTGGCCTTAAAGTGTGATGTTCTTATGGTTATTTTTGCTATATTTGTTTTGATTTTCTTTGAACCCTCCAGCATCTTTGATTAGAGCAGGCTGTAAATTATGTTCAACATCTATTTCTCTATTACACTGTAATTTTATAGATTATGTACTATGTAATTGCAAATTAATTCCATATATATCTATTATGTTTCAGGATAGAACAGGGGAATGTCTGAAACGCACAGGTGCAAGTGTGGCCCTTACATCTATTAGCAATGTTACTGCATTCTTCATGGCTGCCTTAATTCCCATTCCAGCTCTACGGGCATTTTCACTCCAAGTAAGATCTTCAAGTGAAATTAAATGTCATTTAATTTATTATTTGTCAATACAGTCCAGAGATGAAGTTCTTCACATACAACACAACTGGGGAGGGCTGGTGGAGAAACCTGGCCAAGAGCATAGCGTTTGAATTGGATGAGGTGCACAAATTCCCAATTAGAGAATGGTTCTGCAGGGAACAAAGTGATATGTTGACAACAGGGTCTGCACTGATATTCCTGTCAGAAGCATATAAATCAAAGCAGCTTCCCCTAGTCTCACCAGAGACAATAATGACTAGTCCAGCAGTGAAATTCAATTTTTTTTACTACTGGTTCTGTGGGCATGATGTGACTTGGTGGGTGTGGCAGGGGAAGGATACTGCAAAATCCCCATTCCCTCCCCACTCCTGGGGAAATGATATTGCAAAATCCCCATTCTCACCCCACTCTGGGACCAGCCAGAGGTGGTATTTGTCGGTTCTTCGAACTACTCAAAATTTCCGCTACCGATTCTCCAGAACCTGTCAGAACCTGCTGGATTTCACCCCTGCTCTAGTCCACATTTTTGGAGGGCATCAGTTGGTGAAAGCTATTACAGGACATGCTTAATTTTAGATGTGCTTCTTTTCATGAGTATGGTTGACTTGAAACTGCAGTTATCTTCTCATGTGATTTTTGAATCTGCTTTAAAATGTGAAAAATTTACTAATTCTCGAAAAAAAACCCTGATACATGGAGTAGAAATGGTGTGAAATTTGTGCAAGGTTATTTATTTCTGTATGCTGAGTTGTGCTAAATCTCAGGTTTTTTTATGTCTCTATACCAACTGCAAAATGGAATGTTTAACCTGAGTTTTCAATCAAATCTCAAGCTGTGTTGATAAAGATAGAAATTATATTTAGAATTTCTTGTGGTCTCTAATAATAATTTGAAAACTCTCTGCTATCTTCTCAGTGATTTTGGTAGTGAATATTGCACTTATGGCAGATTGCCATCAGTGGTCTATAAAAACCATTATATTTTCTTTTAAATCTTCCTAATTCTGCTTTTACTGATTGATAAACCAGTATGTGACCAGTTCTCTCACATTGAAATGTTTGCTTTTTAAAATTTTAAAAAAAAAAGTTTTTTTTTTAACATTTTGCATTTTCTTTTTTAAAATAAAATTTTATTTTGTTTACCCGGTGAGATTGCTACATCTGCCATAGGATGGAAAGTAGGGCCAGATCCTCTAATCACCATGCCATTATACTACATGGCCAGAAGGTGGCAGAGTAGAGGTTATTTTTGTATTTTGAGATATTAATCATGGGACGAGCAGCACAGGGTGTGAGAGGATTAGGGGTATGCATCAGATGAGACCACCTGCAAAGATAAGTGGCAAAAGCAAATACTAAGCTAATACCCCAACTCAGGACTGGGAATGATGTTGTGAAGAGGATTTCTATGAAGAGAATGTCAAAGCCTCCAGCCTTCCTCTCTGAAGGCCTCAGCAATATTTTACAATTTAAAAACAAATTGAATAGCATTACTTACATATTAAAGACATAAAGAATATGTGTACATATTTTTCAATATTTTTATTTATATCAAAGGATCCCCACTCAAATATTTGAAAGGGTAGAAAACGATGTAGCTTATGTGGAATAAAGCCCATTTCTTTCCTTTGATCTAGTGAGTAGGATACAAATCAGTAGTTGCAAATCCAAATTCCTTGAATTAAGGAAACAAGATTTTGACTTAACCTTTGAAATGACTTTCTGCTTCTTCAAGCTATCTAACAGGGAAAAGACTACCTCAGAAGGAAATATGTTTTTCTACATTATATAGACAGACTAGTTAGGAGACTCACTGGAGAAGAGCCTAATGCTGGGAAAGATTGAGGGCAAAAGAAAAAGGGGATGACAGTGAACGAGGTGGCTGGATGAAGCAGTAGGTGTGAGCTTAAATGGACTCCAGAGGATGGTAGAGGACAGGGAGACCTGGAGGAACGTTGTCCATGGGATCGCGATGGGTCGGACACGACTTCGCAACGAACAACAACAAAAAAAGCACAAAATTAGAGTAGACAAGCTCACTCCAATGAATCCCAAATAAATAAATCACATAGGTTCTAGTATTGGCAGCAGGTATACGCGCCCACCACTCACACAAATGAAGCTGTGTGTGTGCACATACCTGCCCCTTGCACAAAACCATCCCCTCTTCCTCCCCACCCCCGCTGGGCTGCCAACCTGATTCAGCCTTCTTAGATGAATCATAGTTTAAGATTTCTGAAGATAACAATCCACAAATTCAGCTGGAGCAAGGTTGTCAGTATCTGAATCTGAATTCTGGCCCATGACAACCTTTGTACAACTACATATTGTGTGCCAGTTGTCCCCTTTCCTAGATTGAGGAGCCCTGCTCACAATAACTCATGACAGGGTCATCTGTTGTGGTCCACTGGCGGCCTGTGGAACTGGCAGCAGAGTCGGACAGTGAGGAGGCTGGGGAGGAACATGGGCCAATCCTGAATTCTGGGGAAGGCACGGACGAGGGCTCTGCATCAGAGGCAGAGATGGGGCCAGGGCCATCTGGGAGTTATGTGCGGACTCCGGAGCCTCCAGAATCAGACATTAGCGAGGCAGAGGAACAGGGAGCCTGTTCCCAGTGCGCGCATGCGCAGAGTGCCAGAAGGCAAGAACAGTTAAAACAAAAGGGACGACTCGGGAGTAGGGCTTGGAGATGATTGGCCCCTCCCATAAGACATAAAGGAGGAGCAAAGGCACATGGGTCTTTGCAGGAAGCAACTGTTGTTTCTGCTGGCTGGTTTCAATACTGCAGCTCCGTGTTGACTCTGTGTTCTGTGTGGCCTAGCAAAGTTAATTGCCAGTTAGGTCTTGGCAGTGTGTCAAGGGAGATGAACGTGCGTGTTTATCAGCCTTTCCCGAAGAACTGTGGCAGACTTCTGTCGGACTCTTTACAACTATTTGGGGCTCATCTGTGAATGAACAGATTGAGAATGAACAGGCTCTGAATGAGCCGAATTCACAGCTGTTGAAATAAAAAGTGAGTTTTGGGGACTCATTGTGTGCTTTTACTGTATCAGAAAGCCTAGGTCAGAATATCACCTCCCTGTTGGCTACTGCAATGAATTTTGCATGGGGCTGCTGTTGAAGAATATTTTGAAACTTCACCTCGTACAAAATGCAGTGGTGAGAGCAGTTATGTGTATTTCTTCGCAAGTTGCATTGGTTATCAGCTTTTTTCCAGTCCAATTCCAACTGGTGGTGTTAATATTTAAAGCCTTTATGGCATGGGACTAGGTTATTTTTGGCATCGTCTCTCCCTAATTTCATCTCCTCATCCTATTAGATCCAGCAGATGTTATAGATTCTGTCATCTAGGAAGCTAACTTTAGCAGGCCCTTGATAGCTGGCTTTCTCTGTGGTGGCACCCTCATTATGGAATGTTCTCCCCCCTGAGGTCAGGTTATCCTCATCTCTTTTGAGCTTCTGAAGGTCGTTCAAGACTTGGTTGTGACTGCAGGCCTGGATACTCCAGGGGACAGGTGAGCTAGTTAGTGGCTCTGCTGTTGTTAACACCCCTTCATCTACTTTTTACATTAGCTCAGGGTTTTTTATAGTTTTTATAGTTTTTTGATGTTGTAATTAATAATTATAATTATAATGATTTGGGGTATTTAACGGTTTTAACCTGTAAGTGGCAGAGAGTTGCTTGTTGATCAGATGGGCAGCTATGGGCTGCCCAGAGTCCTCGGAGAGTTGGGCGGCATAGAAATATGAATAATAAATAATAAATAAATAAATATATAAATTAAGATAGATAAATACAAGAATAAATAAATAAAACATCTCTGAAACGATGACCCAAGGGGTCCAGGTTGTCTAGTTACTTACTATAAATGGCAGCTCATATTTTACTCTGCTCTTGTCAGAGGGATATTGCTCACCTAACCCACTCTTCTCTTCTGGTTCTCCTCATATTTGTATAAGTAGGATAGGCTGGGAAAACAAATGTGTGCTCTCATAACTTTCTATGCATACTTTTCTTCCGTATCTCTCTACTGCATATAAGTGACAACTGACACCAAATTTAATTATAATCAGATGAACAGGCTCTGATTTGGCATTTATGACATAAAAGCGGGGGTGGAGAGAGAGAAGGCCTTCCATTGGGGCTTTCTCCTTTCTAGGATTAGATTAATTCCGTGGTGCTGTGGATAACCTTGTAATTCTTGATTAAAAATGCATTTAGTTTCATAACCCATATCTGTTTTCTATGACTTATATAGACAGATACCCATGAGCTAACAAAATTGTTTTTCTTGCATGAACTGATAATATAAAGCCGAGCTTATGTGGATTTGACATTCTGGATCATAACCAATATCTTGGCAAAATGCTATCACGTGCACCCTGCTCTTATTTTTCCTTTCTCTTTCTACCTATGTGTGTGTATCTCTGCACATACATTAGTTTCCCTATTTTATAGTTAAAATTGTGATTTCCACCCCAAAGATAATACTCCAGCAGAAAGGCCATTGATAGCCGATTCCAACCTTAGCAAAGATCTGGCACTTGCATTTACTCAGGTGTCACTTTTCTCTTGCTTGGTTCATCAGTCATTAAAAATATGCTTATTGAAATTATTGAGGTGTTTTCAGGTGGGGGGGATTTGAATACAGCAATTTTTTCTTATGAACTCTTCTGAGCCAGATTTATTCACTCAAATCTTAATGTTTTGTCTACTAATAGTGCAGTTTCATATGATCTGAAGAGAAACCAGTTTCAGTGCTGTCTACTAAATATGTATTTTGTCATACAAGTAAAAGAAAGCTAATTTTTTTCTAGTTAGCAGTTGCTATTTAATTTCTTGTACACATTTGCTATTTATTTTACTTGATACTTTACCAGGTATGGCGAAATTCAGATAATGCATTCTGTGGCATTCAGAATCAAAGGGCAATGCAAACTACTTTTGGGTGGTCTGTTTAAAAATGTAGAATTTTCTGCTCTTACCGCTCTCCACCCTGCCTCTGGTCATTTAGAGACAAAAATTTATTTTATGAAGAATTCCTGTCTGTCCAGGAAATCCTCCATAGCCAAGTTAAGAAAGCATAGCAGTGTAACAACACTGTTGCTTTTCTTTTCAGTAATGTTTATAGCTATTTCTCTGTATAGAAGTTCTATATCAGATGGGTTTAAACAGAAAGTTTCTTTAACCTTCTATCTTTTTTCACTTTCCCTGAGACACTAAAAGATAACAATCGAAGCCTTATTGGTTTTTGAGGCTCAATATTGGTAAAATAATCCAATTGCTGAGAACATAAGTGCCGTATTTTTCAGACTATAAGGTGCACTTTTTTCCCTCCTAAAAGAGCTGAAAATTTGGGTGCGACTTACACTCTGAATGTAGCTTTTTCAAAGCTTTTTTTCAGCCCTAAAGAGGCACTAGTGAGTGAAGTGATCTCCGTGCTAAGCTTTTTTTCAGTGAAGCGATCTTCCGTGCTTTGCCTGCTCCGTCCGACTCCCAGCTGTGAAGGTTTTTTTCCAGCCCTAACGAGGCTCTAGCAAGTGAAGTGATCTCTGTGGTTTGCCTGATTTTCTCATTGCTTCTCTCTCCAAAGATCAGTTGTGCTTTAGAAGCTGTTTTTTATCCCCAAGCAGGAGATAAAAAACAGCAAACTAATGTGCTGAAGCTGACCAGACTAAGGACACTAGCCAGATGAATACCTGGTAGGAAGATTTTTATTCCTATTTTCCTCCCCAAAAACTAAGCTGCGTCTTATACTCCGGTGCGTCTTATACTCCGAAAAATACGGAAAATCAGACCTCAGACCTGCAGATTAACGCTAGTGAATTGAAAGTAGCTCTGGAACCATAAAAGAAGGTTTGGCTTACATAAGGCTCTTGGATCGGAGACTGTCAATTCCTGCTCAACATTTTTATTTTCACGGGTATTTTATTACCATACTCATCACTTATGGCAAGCCTTAAAGACTTAATTAAAGTTTCAGTGACCTACCCCATGTTCCACCTCAATTACTCTTAAATTCCACCTGTGATATGGATACTACCAATTAAGAACCCTTGATTTACACCATCCAGTTTCTTTCGTCATAAGCTTCTCTAGTCGCAAAAAAAACCAATGACATAGTCTTTTTCCTGTAGTGAGAGCCTTTGTGAGAAGCAAAAAGATATCCTTTTCACTTGCTTAATGATGCACAGTGGCCTGTTAAGTACATGTACATAGTGGGAGTAACTGTGCCAGCTGCACTGACTCATTTATCATTTTACTCCCAACTTAGGATGGAACAGCTAAATCTATCTACATCTAGTTCTTTAAGTTCTTTTGTCCCAGTCATACATATCTTTAATTTTGGTTACAAATACTGGGCAGGAAGACAGAGGAAGAAAATATAACATTGTGAATTTCATTAGGACTGAGATGCGTACGATTAGCAATAAGGTACAAAGAGATTCTCTTTATTTGTAATATCTCTTATCAAACAATAAATTCACTTTCTCTGGGTGGCTTGTAAGGGATAAGTATATAGTAGACTAGTACTAGACTATAGTACTGCAGTATATAGTCAGGATCTCACTTTACTTTCTCTCTCAATAACTCCAGTTCAGATCTTACTTTATTTCAGCAAATTCATAGGGCAGCAGCCACCATGTTTTAAAGCAGAAGATTATTGAAAAAAATGATTTGTAGATGGTGTGTCAGTGTGGAACCTAGACATAAAATATTCTAAATATTTCTTACATATTTACTATACTTGGATGCTGCCCAGTTCCTGAAGATTCTGGACAATTAATCTCAAAAACAGGAACAAAAACAATCCGGGAATGGTAATTGGATTAGATGGCTCCATGGTTTATAATCTGATGCCCTCTCTTAGCTTTTTATAATAATATTAAATTTTTGTACTCGTAGAATGTTTTTGAAATTGTTTTTATAGTTGTTTGTACAGTACATCATGCTGCATGAGAAGAGCGGCCACATAAATATGATCAAACCATCAGTAAAAACATCTCCAAAGAACCCAATATGTTCAAAAATAAAAAGTCAAGAAAATATAAAACTAGGAAATGCAAAAAGTCAAGTGGGCGAACCCCCCCGTCTTCAATCATAACACAAACCTGCAAGATGGAACAGATGGGTCTTCACAGCTTTCCTGAAGCCAAAAAGGGATGAATATTCTATGCATATTAAAGCTGTCGAGTACAACTGAGCCTTCCTTTCTTTGTGAGCAGTGGAGCCAGAAGTTTTGTACACTTTAGGATTAAGAAATATAGCTGCCCACTAGGTCTGTGGAACTCCATAGGGAAAAGTATGAGGCTTTCAGATTTACCTTCTTACTGATAGGTGACTTGAAGAAACTTTGCTATTTCTGTTACACAAGGGTGAAGTAATTTTCAGCCAACTCTGTAAAAAATTGATTCATAAACTGCTGGTAACTACATGTGTTTGTGTGTGTTTGTGTGTAATTTGAGCATATCATGAGATAATGGAACAATTTCTTTTGAGGCTTAGGGATCCCTTTTATGAGAATCAGTTCTGGGAGTGCTTCAGTCTGCTATAAACTCCCTTTTTATTTCCCCCCACAGCATCCCTGATAAGGACCTCATTCTTACAGGAATGTGTTTGTCTTTGTGGCTTTCAGTGTTGATTGAAACTGGCTACATAACTGTATTCTAAATCTTTGCAAGTCATGATTTTTAGCTAAGTGATTTGTAAATGTAACCAAATGTGGTTTTTATAATAAACTGTGTTTTAAGCAAATGATGACTTAATGAGATTGGTGAAGGCAGCATAAATTAGGGGTAGTGTTGGTTACTGAAATATAGTCTTAGCCAACATCTTGTTATTAGACACCAAGACATGAACTGGAGATAAGCAATGCAATGCCTTTCCTAAAATCAAACATATTTAGTCTGGTCAATGCTGGGACCAGAGACTTCCTAGAAACTCTATATACACATACACATGTAATAATTAAATGAAAAGAACCATCTTTTTTCTACCTACTATGCATATCATCCTAAGCAAGTCTGTCTTTTCTTTATTTTCCTGAGCAAATTCCAGGTAGTGAAGGAATTCTGTAGGGGAAAAGGTACATATTGGATCGTCATTGAGTTATGAGTTCATTTATTTTACAATATATTTTGGTCTGAAGTTGAATTGATATTCATAACTAGTGAATCTTCATTAATTGTTAAGTATTTGTTTGAAGGCTGTACAAAAATATGCTTTGATGTAATGCTTTCTTTGGTAATTTAGAATCAGTCTGGAGGGATGAAAATTATAGTGCAAAGTATCTATAAAACTGTTTAAAAACTTCAGGGAAAGAGTGTGGTGAAATACAAAAAACACTAATGTGGTGAAGGACCTCATTAACCTTTGCAAAGTCTTTCTTTCTATATTTTAAATCCAAAAAAACCAGGCCTCTGTCAATATCAATCTTGCCTAAATAGCCATTTGTTTCTCTGACAGTTCTTCCTAGTAAGGTACAAAAGAGGATACTGACTCATGTACCTTGTGTGGTGATATAAATCAAGGGCTGTTTAAATGAATGGATCACTGCTCTGAAACACTAAGTAGTGGCTAATTGGTCTCATAAGCAGCTTCCACCGAAGAACACTTCTACGGTTACATTGTGGAGTTGTAGGTCTTGACTTGGAGACTAGTTTCTCTCCCTCTATTCTTTTTTGACACAAAAATATTACTAAATTAAATTAATATGCACATCAGAGCTTTTAAAAAAAATGGTAAATTGTTTTTTATTTGTTCTAGTTTCCCCCATGAGAAATGAATTTGAGATCTGGTAACATGCTTATTAAGACAGTATCTAATTCTTAATATTTCATTGCTATATTTAAGTTTACAATATGGAAACCTAGTTATAACCTGACTTTCAGTGTTGAAATAACAATAGTTACATATAACTTTTTAAAAAAAAAAATAATAAGCCTCCCTTCCTGTAGCCTTAGTATTGCTGATGTTCTTTTTTCTCTTTTTGATTATACAGGCTGCTGTGGTTGTAGTATTTAACTTTGCCATGGTTCTGTTAATTTTTCCTGCTATTTTGAGTATGGACCTATACCGCCGGGAAGATCGGAGGCTGGATATATTCTGCTGTTTTACAAGGTGAGATGGAAGGAATATTACAAAGATCATGTCATTTTAAATGGACGTTTTACCAGTGACTACTTTAGCGAGAGATACTTATTCCCAGTGGTGGGATTTAAGTTATTTAGCAACCGGTTCTCTGCCCTAATGATTTGTTCCAACAACCAGTTCGTCAAACTGCTCAGAAAGTTAACAACTAGTTCTTCCGAAGGGGTGCAAACTGGCTGAATCCCACCACTGCTTATTCCTATAGTTGTATGGTAGAATTTGAGGTCACTTTCAAACCTCTTATATTCCAAATGAATGGAAACTCAGAGCTATAATGTCTGGAGAAGCAAACTGAGCATTATTGCACCCCTGGTTGCCACGAACTGCTCTATGGTTGGAAGAGATTGGTTGACCAGTTTCTTATGATTACATCAATGTCATTAGGGAGGTTCTAATAGCAGCCACAAAATACACTTCACACATCACTAAACTATAATGTGTTTTGGCTTTGAGAGGGTCTAGGATATTTTCTTTATTCTGCTGGTGAACTGGTATAATTGAATACTAACCAATATGCCAGTAACTCTCCTCTCTAATTATTTTGTGTGGCTTCAAAACAGAAGAGTGGTGGTTTTGCTAATTCAGTAATATTTTCAGAAACACAAGGAGTGTTAAGGAACTTAAAACAATGGATTGTGTTTCTTGCATATTGCAAAACTCCATATATGTAGGCGTACTTTGTATATAAACACTTCATTAAATGTTAACAAATAATACATCATAGAACAATTCTGGTCACAACCACAGTGCATCTATTTACTTTCCCTATTTTTCTTCCAGCCCCTGCGTCAGCAGAGTCATTCAAATTGAACCTCAAGCATATGCAGAGGCCGGTGATAACTTACGCTACAGCCCTCCACCGCCCTACAGCAGCCCCAGTTTTGCCCACGAAACTCAAATCACAATGCAGTCTACAGTCCAGTTGCGCACTGAATACGACCCACACACTCAGGTTTATTACACTACAGCAGAACCTCGGTCAGAAATATCGGTACAACCAGTCACCATGCCACAAGATAACCTCAGCTGCCAGAGCCCGGAAAGCACCAGTTCAACCCGGGATCTTCTTTCTCAGTTCTCTGGAACTACACTGCATTGTCTTGAGCCTCCCTGTACTAAATGGACACTCTCCTCTTTTGCTGAAAAGCAGTATGCACCACTCCTGTTAAAACCAAAAGCAAAGGTAATGTTGGTTGATTGATTGGTTACTCTTGTCTTTTGTGGTCACATTTTGTGGACACATTGGGTTTTCCTTGAAAATCCAGAGATAACTCTTAAGTATCTAAAGTTCATGCTGGGTTCTGCCTCCATATAAGATCCTTCAGTTTTTAAAAATGGCACTGGATTATCTCTGGAAATAGCTCTTATATAAGCTTTCCTCTTTCTCCTTCAGATACAGGTAGTCCTTGACTTATGACCACTATTGAACCCAAAATTCCGGTTGCTAAACAAGGTAGTTAAGTGAGTTTTGCCCCATTTTATGACTATTATTGCCACAGTTTGTTTATTTAGAAAATTTATATTGCCACCTTCTTGCACATGGCGACTCAAGGCAGCTTACAAGGATATAAAAATAGCATATAAAAGAAAAATAATAAAGTAATAACCCCCCACCCTGGCAAGAACACACATTCATACTAGACATTTAATGGGCTCCATCCCACTCTGGGTTTGCCAGGCCCTCTGACAGAACCATGTCTTTAGGGCCTTCTGAAAGAGTGTTAGAGTGGAAGCCAGTCTAATCTCTGGGATGATGTTCCAGTGAGAGGGAACCACCACAGAGAAGGTCCTTCTTCTGAGTCCCGCCAGATGTATATCCTTAGGAGACACACAACATTCCTTGTCTTCCCACTCTAGTAGGTTGGGTAGATATGACCGACAAGAGATGGTTCCTCAGATAACCTGTTGTTAAGTGAATCACCGCAGTTGTCAAGTTAGTAACATGATTGTTAAGTGAATATGGCTTCCCTATTGATTTTGCTTGTGAGAAGGTCACAAAAAGTGATCACAAGACCCGGGACACCAACCATCATAAATATGAGTCAGTTGCCAAGCGGCCAAATTTTGATCATGTGACCATGGGCATACTGCAACAGTCATAAGTGTGAACAATGACCATAAATCACGTTTTTCAGTGCCATTGTAACATCAAATGGTCACTAAAAGAACTGTTGAATGTCAAGGACTATCTGTACGTGTGGAGGTCTGTACGTGTGGAGGTCAGGCAAACAAATCCTTTAAATGATTTTAAATTTGTTTGTCTTTTTAAATTTTGGGCCAAATTGAGATATTTCCTTTTAATCTGTTCTTAATGTATTTATTATGTGTTTTTATTTGGCTGTACACCGCCCTGAGTCCCTAGGGAGAAGGGCGGTATATAAATAAAAGTAAATAAATATGGCTTGATCATTTGTGGTTCTAGATCCGTAGGATGCTTTTCCTTCCTAGGAAGTTGTTTCTCAAGCTTTTGCATTATTGTTGTCATTTCAATTTCTCCTGTCCAAACATTCGGCCAAACCATTAAGATTCCTGGCCCTGGTTGAAAATGAACAACTATATGGAGCATGAGCATCTGAAGACAAGGAATCAACGTCAAAGTGGGGACCATGATAGTCTTATGTCCCCTTTTTATATATGTTGTACACACAATGCATGTAAAGGAGGCAGGGCTTTGATTATGCAATTGTGACCATCCTTCTGATGTCTCTGGTATTGCGTCGATAGGGATTTGGGCAAGTAAATTCTACAATGAAGCAGTTGTTCGAGATGTTGCTCAACCTTAGCTTGGTTGGAATACTTTTACAAACAACATGGCCACCATTAGGCTATTAAAAGTGACTATAGATACAGAGACTATTAATTAGATCAACACATATGGGTGGCACCAATTTGGGAGGGCTATGCTAAACATTGGCAGAATCGATGCATCTCATTGAACCATTGTTCTAACTATGGTTTGTTAAACAACCCATTATTGCTGGGCTCATACATTGTGCTGATGCATGATTTATAATCGACCACAGCTAGGTGTATACAACATGCTAAACCAAAACTCAGCAAACTACAGTATGCTTGGTGCAATTTTGTCAGCTCAGCTAATGAATATACTGGCTCTGCTGAAAATGGAACCTGAGAAACCACATAGTCCTTATAGAAGTCATACGTTATAAAGTTAAATGTTTCCATATGCATTCTTTTGTAGCTTTTGTAGCCCATGATTTTCTTAACATTAAAATCCATTTACTTATGCATGCTTTTTTTCTGTGTGTTTTCTTTTTTCAGATTATGGTCATTTGTCTTTTTCTGGGCTTACTTGGCCTCAGTCTTTATGGAACAACTCGTGTGAGAGATGGATTGGATCTCACAGACATTGTGCCACGGGAGACTCGAGAGTATGAGTTCATTGCAGCCCAGTTCAAATACTTCTCATTCTATCATATGTATATTGTTACCCAGAAAGCAGATTATCCCAACATCCAACATTTACTTTATGAACTGCACAGAAGCTTCAGCAATGTGACCTACGTCTTATTGGAGGAAAACAAGCAACTTCCTAAAATGTGGTTGCATTATTTTAGAGACTGGCTGCAAGGTAAAACCAATAAATCTTTCTTACAAATGTATTTCTTGCCTTTGAATGCATCGTACCAGTGATTGATGCTTTTCTCCTATGGAATCTCTCTGGAAGTCAGGAATTTATACAAATTATACAATTAGTCCTTTTATAATTTATTTGCCAACAAATCCTCACATTTATGACCTTTGAGGTCTGTAAAGCAAAGGAAAGCTGAAGTAAGATCATATGCAAAGTTGTGGTTTCATGTAGTGACCACTTTGCTTAATAACTGAGTTGCAGGTCCCAGTTATGGTCATTAAACAAGGACTACCCATATCCTTTTGAAATTCATAATTTCAAAATGCAGATTAATCAGTTGTTAGTTACTTAGTTACTTTTATATATTTTCCCTGTCCAACAGTTCAGGGAATGCCAAATGGCTATGTAGATGCTAATCAGATAAATCAGGGGCTTTGCAGTTTTATAAATTAATTTCAAATAATAGGGTCAATAGCTGTTGTTCTCTCTTTCTCTAGCCAAGTTGTACTTGTTTGGTCTGATAGATGTGCACCCGCTCAGTGTGTTTATTCTGAATGTCAAAGAGGAAGTTTTATTATAAATTTCTGCATGGGGAAAACTCTAAAGCAGGGGTGTCCAACCTCGGCAACTTTAAGACTTGTGGACTTCAATTCCCAAAGTTCTCTAACCAGCCAAGCTGGCTGGGGAATTCTTGAAGTTGAAGTCCACAGGTCTTAAAGTTGCCAAGGTTGGACACCTCTTCTCTATAGGAAACAAAGAAAGAATTTGCAAACAAGAATGAGTACCCATGTTGTGTCATTCAGGCCCTGGTCTACTTTCCAAGGTTCTTCCCTCTTTATAGCTATGGCTAACCTGTCAGCTCTGTAAGGATGGTTTTGATTACAGCCTCCCAGTGCAGCTGTGAGGTGGGTTGGTGGATCCCTCCCGCCCTTCCCTTTTCTGCTTTAGACATGCGGTTGGTTCATCTGTTCTCACACAGCCTCCTTGCTCTGGGCTGTGGCTTCCTATTCTAAATCTGATCCAAATTTGCTCTGTGAGGTATTTTTTCCCCCAGCCTCTCCCTTGGAAGGGGTGGCAAAGAGGAAAAGAACAGTTGAGAGTGAATAGGTGTTGGCTGTGATCTTTACACGTGCTGGCAGCAGATCCCACAACTTGTATTAGCTCCACAAGTTGAACAGATGGAACAAATTGACAAAATCATGTTCACTCATGCTGTGCTCAAGCAGGAGCTGGGTTGCTGTTTGAAGTTTGAACGGTGCGGTGTGAGTTTCTTTTTCCTCCAGCTTTGCGGTGGAATTTCTGGTCATGTTGTTGTATAACCTATGGCTTCAGCACCTAGTGGTAGCCGAAACAACTAAAGTCCTATGTGTCTCCTCCCCGTTGTGTAATTCCTTTTAGGGTTGTGAGTGGATAAAACTTTTTTCAGATAATGGCTCCATTTCTGACTTTGTTATTACAGTTTTTTGGCTCAGTCCCTGGATTGTATTTGAATGAAGCAATTAATTTTTCCTCCAAGCATTTGTTTGCAAATTACTTGCTGTTTACGCCTTCCATTGTAGATTTCAAGTCAGGTTCTTTACTGTGTGTGTGTGTTCTCATTTCTTATTAGCACACCATACAGATAGTAACCCTGCTCATGTGAGTTCTGTCACAGAACATGGAGACTTTTTTTTTAAGTTAAAAAAAAAGTTTTTACCAAATCTGTATTGGTTGCATACATTCTCTTCCTCTACGTACATGAACATAACACCTATTGCAACACATTAAAGCATCTGGCTGTTTTAGGGGCTGCTGCGTTTTTGCATTCCCATATGCTCTGAAGTGCCTTTTAGAGATCAAATTTGAAACGCTGCATAGCTGAAGTAAACTTGAGTGCCAGAGTAAATCTTGCACGCATGAAGTGCCTGCAAAGCCTGTTTTGTTATATACAAGCCATGTGTTCAGCCGCACACACACAGTAGTGTTATGATGTCAATGTTTTCACGTGTGGAGAAGTTTAGCTAAGTGGGTGTGGGAGAATTGGGCTAGTTTTGAGACAGCAGGAGGTCTGTCTCGAACTCTGGCCTGGCAGCCTTCCACAGACAAGTTGGAAGATGGGGAAGGCAAGCTATGCAAGGCCTGCACTTCTGGGAGGCCAATGTCTCAAGTTTAGGGCTCCCTCCCAAACATCTGCTTGGGAGGCAGGTGACAGTTCTCCAGCCAGAGTCTTCTTGTTTCAGGGCTGTGGGGAGAGGCTGGAAGAGACAGAACTAAGAGTCAAAAAGAACACTAGGAAAGTAATGGCAATGTCTCAGAAGCCTTGTCAGCACTTACTCAAGAGCTGAAAATCTTGGACTCCTGAAACCCCTTCTTTATTAGTTGAAAACAAAGTCTTGTTAGTCTCCTGTCTCTCTTCCATTATGAGCTGGGTAGATGAGGTTTTATTAACTGGTGGGAGTGTTGCCTTCCAACAGGTCTTCAGGAAGCTTTTGACAACGACTGGAAATCTGGGAAGATCACCCTTCACAGTTACAAAAATGGATCTGAAGATGCTGTTTTGGCTTACAAACTTCTAGTTCAGACTATTTCAAACATGCGAGATAAACCCCTTAACATGAGCCAGGTATGTTCAAAAATACAATTGTATGTCTGTGGTTTCAAATGGGACAATGCAAATGTTTCTTTATTCATTAACTCATTTACTGTTAAAACTTTAATGAACTTGGAAGACAATAGCTCTGAGCTGCCCCTTTTTTATGATAAAATCCCTGTATTGGCTCCGTAATTTTAACACTCCGAAAGCAAAAGAAGTAATGAGCTGAACAATAGTAGAAATAAGCTCAGGATAAATTGGTTGTTTTAACCAATGTTGATATGCATGTACTCACAACTAGCAATTGCTAGAATGAGTTCTAATTGATTTCAGTTGACTATACTGAGCTGAAAATGTGCTCAGAATTGTTGAAAACATCCGGCTGATGACTGGTATGCTTGCTTCTTGACCTTTGGGATTGGTTGTATTCAGCTGCAGGCTCTGGGCGGCCTCCCAGGAACCACAGTGGAGCAATAAATACTATTGTCCCTCATGGATGTTATGTTATATTGGCAATAAACCCACATTGCCGTCTCCCTCGTTTTCTTTCTTTCACCATATAAAACCCTATTCTATCCTTTGCCTAAGTGGTATGCAGAGTGGTTTGATGATGATTTAATAGCATTTATGCTATTTGTTATTGACTTCCTGAAGGAAAACAAATTTGAAATTTCTAAAAAAAATGCACACAGGAATCCTCTCACCCTGAATAATGACTGCACAGGTTTTGGATATATTTTTCTAGAAAGTAGATTATAGCTGTGAAGCTCTAGAGACTCTTGTTTATCAGCAACAGTATGGCTCATAGCCTGTTCATCACTCAACAGGAATCAGAATATAATTCTAATATTTCTCTACATTTTTTAGTTGTCTTTGGTGCTGTGGTAGCCTTTTTTTGAGGCCTTCACTAGGCCAAGAGCCATAGCTACTGTGTTATGGTGACTTTGCTCCTGACTGCTGGGAAAAATCCAAAGAATGCTTCTCTGTCTTAAAGGACTTGATTCTAGAGTTTTGAACAGTGTGGTTTAGACTCATGTGCTTTTAATAATATTCATGAAGACATTGGGCATTATTGTCCAACATTCTCTGATTATTAAAACACTGAGGATACAGATCTCTTTCTTCTTTAAAGCAGAATTTTGTAAAGCTGTGAAAGTTCTGAATAGATGTTTGGAAGCAGTTGGGTGCTCTTGCAGCTGGCTGCGGACTTCTGGGAGTTGAAGTCCACAAGGCTAAAAGTTGCCAGGGTTGGACAACCCTGTTTTAAAGACAGGAACCCAACCAAAAGGTGTACTTCTTTTCTTGATGATGAGTCACATTCTCCAAGAAGCAGAGCACAGCGGCTGTAAGATTTATTGTGGGACTCAGGATAGTTGCCATAGCCAGAACTGCTTATTATTGCCAGCTTACTGGCTAGAGCATTTCTTAAGAGGAGTAACTTCTGGGATTTTATATTTGTTTTCCTTTGCAAAACTGTTCAGAAATTCCAATTAGTTCAGAATGTAGCTGCCCAATTATTGGAATGATTCCATGAATACATTTTACATCAAACCCAAAAGTTTTTCCTCTGTTTGCTTTTTTGGATAGGACCCAAAAGTGTTTTTTCAAGAGGCAACTGGACTTTCTTGTTTTTCTTTTTCTTTTCTTTTTTTTTTCACTGGGCAGGAGTTGTAATTTTCAACCTTGAAAGGCTGGGCTCAGATTATCCAAGGTATATCTTTCTCTTGTCAGTCTTCTCGCATACCATAATAGGTTATTTCTCATTCCCCCTTTCTCCTCTGAGTTCCCAGCAGACAGTGGAAAGCAGAATTCTGTCAGTATAGGACAGTATATTTTACTGCATAGGATAAAGTTCAATCTTTCCTGCCACAAGTTTGATGATGATGATTGGCATTTGATGTTTTAAAAAAATGGCAGTTTGTATATTTATGTTATTAGTGTGTCAGCAGAAGAAGGAGGCAGAAAGGGGAGCTAAAATGAAATTAAAGAATTCCAAATGACTGTTAAAACTTAAAATACCAACTGCACAATGTGACAAATATGGTAGGTCTCTGGCTCACAATATGCCATAATTTCCTCTGCCTGAGAGAGATAAAATTGTGCTATGGGAACCCCAGGGGCCATGAATTTTATTCTGCAAGTCTAGAAACAATTTGAAGTCAAACAGTTGTTGCATGTCCTGTGGATTAATTGATTCTGGATTCCAGCTTCTTTTTATAAAGATTGTTGTCACTGCCCTTTCAAATAATTAGAAAGCCTTAAAAATGAAAGTTGTGGCAGATTGAAGAACAAACCAAGAAACCTGCTGTTTTTCCTTTCTAGCACCTTCTGAGTATCACCATTTTTGTAGTTTAACAAAGTAGAATTTGGTCAAGATAGTACTTTAAGATTATCTTATTCAAAGCCATATATTCATCTGGTTTTTGATGCTGGGTATCTTCTAAATATGTAGGTCATAGGAGACGAGCGTTAGCAAAATTTATACAGATGTTGTTTTATTTTTATAGCTCTCCTCCATTTACTGGGTGGCATTTCCTTCAGTGTTAACAACAGAGGTTAACTGCACACAGACGTCTACAGGACTCTTGCCAATTCTTTTTTTCCCCCTTTTCTCAAAACCACCTTTAAATATGTTTCTCGGCAGTTTGGTCATTTGCCCCTCTTGGCTGCAGACTGTGTATGAGAATTTAGGCTTAATTGGCTCAGTATTCATCTGGAACCTTCTTTTGATTTAATGTTTCTGACGAATTGCACGCAAAGCATTTTACACCATTCCAAGCCGTTTGAAAAATCTGGATACAAAAATATCTCCCATGCTGGGAATAATATGCTTGTGGTCTCTCTATAAAAATATGTTTCTCACAAACATATGTTCTGTGTGCTCTCATCTGCTGTTTGCCTCAGCCTTTTTGTGTTAAAAATTTGAGCAAGAGTGGTTCTGAAACACTTTGCATTTTTCAGTTGGCTAAACAGCGCTTGGTGGACGCAGATGGAATCATTAACCCAAAGGCGTTCTACATGTACCTAACAGCCTGGGTTAGCAACGATCCTGTGGCCTACGCTGCCTCTCAAGGCAACATCCGGCCCCACCGTCCAGAATGGGTCCATGATAAAGCAGACTATATGCCAGTAACCAGTAAGGAACCTTTTATTATAATACCTTGCTATTTATTCAAATGTCTCTGCTTTTCCTTCCAGCCTTAGCAGCTTTTAAGTCCACTGACACTTTCCAGGACTCTTGACTATATACAGGATAATATATATTGCTTTATTCTGTAAAGACTCAGAAGATAGATGTGGTTGTGTAATATAGTAAAAGAATGCTGTACTTTGGTAGCATTTGTGTGTGTGGGGAAATAATTCTTTAATAATTTATATCAAAATTTAAACCTTGTATTCAGCATTTCATTTCAGTACTGCAAGCTCATTTTATGAGTAAGGGAAACCTTTTCGTTCCATGCAGAGTTTTTGTCATTGGGAGTTATTGCATGTTTGTTTGGAATCTGTCCGGAAGCAAAGAATTTCTGGGAAACTAGGTCATTCTCTAGCACCTGCCTTGTGTCTGTGAACTGTAAGGGTGGGGATGAGAAGACATCTAAAAGAACTATATCCATTTTCCTTGCATTTTTCCTCAACTCTCTGTTGCATTCTAAATAGCAATACCAATTTAATGTTGCTTTGACACTTGATTTATTGGTTGGGCTGCTGGCTAGTTATTGGGTGGCAGGCGTGAAGGAAGAAGAGGAGTGGTATTTACAGCAATACAACTGGATAACAAGGAAATTGTCCTTCCTTCTATCTCAATCCTAAAGCTCTTGGGCACCCAGCCAAACCTTGTCTTAATGAAAATTTATAGTTGAGATTATAATAGGGCAAATCATGTTTAGCAAGTCAAGGGAATGACCCTGCAGAGTCAGGAACACACAGCTAGTGTGCTCCAAAGCTAGTTATAAAAAGCTTCCTTTAGTGGGGGAAAGAATGGGTTGTATGGTGGACTTAGCATTGCTTTCAAAAAGAGCATGAAAAATGTAGATATGCCATGTCATTAAAGGATAAAAATTATGTATTTCCTGAATTAACCGCTTGAAGTATTTAATCTTTCTTTGACTGACTGGAACATGCTCTCAAGCTTATTTTCAATAGCCAGAGAAAATGTAACAAATGTACTGGCTAACTTTAGCATTCAAAATATTTAACTGATTACAAATCCTGGTCCTATTCATTGCTTCATTGTAAATTGTTGGGATTATAGTGCTGTCAGCAACACAAGGATTTCAGAAGTATTACCCTTATATCAGAGTAGTATAAAGGTACTTGAGATTTTGTAATCCCCAGTCCAAATATTAAATGTAATTTAATCTCCAAATATTTGTGTGGTTGTCACTCAGGACTTAATATTTGCTGATAGCGAATTGTGAAACATAACAGATTAAGTTGAATGGATATTTTAAAATCCTTTCCATCCTAGTGGTTTGGCTTCCTATCTAAAATATTTTAAATGGAAGTATTTGATGCCTTGACAGTTTGTAAACAATGTAGGTATTTTTATAATATGATAACTTGTTCCAGGTTAATAGGAGATGTTTAGAACAGGGATGGAGAGTTAATTAGTTTAAAAATAATGACAGAGAATCTTATAGAATCATAAAGGCCAAAATGCATTAGGGCATTAACTTTCATGGTCTGGTTCACATAAAATTAACTCACAGAAAATATGTTAGTTTATCTTTGCTTTTAGGGTGGACAAACTTAGCGACTTCTCCGAAATTCCCTAATGTGCAGTAATGTTACCAAAACCTACTGTGTAATTAAAAAAAAAAAAAAGTCAACTTCGAAGGATTTTATTTTTTTTTTTCTGTTTTGGGACAAGGACTCCAGCCACAAAAGATTAGTGGTTTTAGAATACTGCTATTTTCTCTTTAGAGTGTTCTTTTTGGGATTTCTTTGTAGTGTTCAAATGTGCACTGCATAGAATCCCATGGAGGCATGCATGACTGAAATCTGACATACCCGGTACCTTTTTATTATTCAGAGAACTGTATGTGTGGCATTTCATAGTGTATCCAAAGTCATATTTAAATGTAAATTACTACACAGTCCTATGCTAACACAGGGCATCTAAACAATCACACTCATCTTTTTCCTTCTACATTCATGATTCTTTTTTTTTCTTTTTTCTTTTTTTTTCTTTTTTCTTTTCTTTTTTTTTTTTGATTTATATGCCGCCCTTCTCTGGAGACTCAGGGCGGCTTACAATGCGTTAAGCAATAGCCTTCATACTTTTGTATATTTATACAAAGTCAGCCCCCACAATCCGGGTCCTCATTTTACCTACCTTAGAAAGGATGGAAGGCTGAGTCAACCTTGAGCCTGGTGAGATTTGAACTTGCAGTAATTGCAGGCAGCTGGTGTTAATAACAGTGCTTTAGTCTGCTGTGCCACCAGGGCTCTTGTGCGCCACCAGGATTCTATGTGTATGTATAAAATATGTATATTGTTTTTTTTTTTTCCTTAGTCCCAGAAGCTGAGCCTATTGAATATGCTCAATTTCCTTTCTACCTCAATGGACTGCGTGATACCTCTGATTTTGTGGAAGCTATAGAGAAAGTGAGAGCAATCTGCAATAATTACACTAACCTTGGGATTCCCAGTTATCCAAATGGGTATCCATTTCTCTTTTGGGAACAATATATAAGCCTTCGTCATTGGCTCCTCTTATCCATTAGCGTGGTTCTGGCCTGCACGTTTCTGGTGTGTGCCCTCATTCTTCTGAACCCCTGGACAGCTGGGATCATTGTAAGTCTTTGTTGAAGTCAAATTCCTTTTAGCATAGCTCTTGCTACACTCAGGAAGGTTTTATTTATGTCTGAGCTACTAGTGGAGTGTGTATATTGCATCATTCATGATATATTTATTCTACTACTTGATGGGGCAGGTTTTCTTGCACAAGGTATATGCTGTAATAACCTTAATATTTTATCCCAGTATTAAATGGAAGTTTTAAAAATAAAGATGTCTAAAACATTTCGCTTCATCTTAATACCCTAGAAAAAAGTCAGAATTATAACATTTTTTTAAAAGTGTGTACAGTGCGGTATGCATTTGTTATGGGCAATTTTGGCTTAGGGAATCATTTTCTTGTTTGAAACATCTTCATTTAAACTATACAGATTTTGCAGTTAGTTCTCAAATTTTCAACTATCCCAGATGAGAAAGGCAAAATAATCCCCAAAGCATGGCTCTCCTTAAACTGTACAGACTAGACTCTCTGAGCACCTGAGCACCCATAGTGCTAGCATAACTCATTATTTATAAAATTTATAGGCCGCTCATTTTACCTCAAGGTAACTATAATCCTAGACTACGGTGGGTATTGTGTGACTCTTTCACTCTTGAGGAGTCTGGTTGTCGATAACAATGTTCAGCTCCAACGGGAGAGAAGAATGTGGCATAGTGCTGCAGAGTGTAAAAAAAATAAATAAAATGGTGAATATAAACTATATAGACAGAATACTTTTTTATATGTTCTGTGAAGCACCAGACGTCTTTCAGTACACTGGTATTCTTTCCAAACAGAATGTTTGATGTTATTCTGCCTAAACTTTATGAACTTCTCTACAGCTTATAAAATGGTAGAGGTAAAAAATGATTACTGGGTTTCGGCCTATAGATTTGTATAACAGGTATGTAAAAAGGTAAATGTTTAGTCTAGAAGAGCTGTCTAAAGACTTGGCTGTGTATGTTATCAGTCATGAGTCATTAGCTTATAAAATAATTTATTGTGATTCCTACAGAAGCGGGTTTGGGTTACAGAAAGGAATTCTACCTTTTGTACAGAATTTTTAGACCTCTTCCTCCTCTTCCTACAGTTATCTACTTAGTCGAAATCCTGTATCTTTTTATATCTCTCTGTACTAGGACTGAATTAAGTAGAAGGTGAAACATTGCAAAAAATAAAAAAAACAAAGTTTTAGATTGCAGTGCCAAATTATAAACTTACCTTCAGCGAAAATTACTATATGACATTTTTAAGGATACAGACACTTAACACAATAACTTAAGTTTTTTTTTTTTTTAAATAAGCCAGTTGCACTTTCTGTCTTTTGTTTCTGCAACATGATAAATCATGTTAACATGATTAACCATCATCCGAAATCTTTTAGGTGGTTGTACTGGCTCTTATGACAGTGGAACTCTTTGGTATGATGGGTCTAATTGGAATAAAACTAAGTGCAGTTCCTGTCGTCATCCTGATTGCATCTGTTGGAATTGGAGTGGAATTCACAGTTCATATTGCTTTGGTAGGTGGCAACGTCCTTTCTAATATCTGAAATGCCATGTTGGGGGGGGGGATTGTTTTGTGCAGCTTTTCTAAAATCAAGTACAAATTTGTATAACACAATATGACCATATAAATAAATTGCAAATACCCTGCATGCAATAGCAAAATGTTAAAATGTTTACATATTTCTTAGTTAATTCATATAAGCTAGAAATATAACAGTATGTCACATGCATTTTTAAATGTATGGGTTTTGTTTTTTGTTTTTTTGAGAAGTTATCAAGAGGTTATATATATATATATATATATATATATATATATATATATATATATATATATATATATATATATATATATACACACATACATATACATATACATATACATATACATATACACACACACTCAATTATTTTTCCAGTTTAATCCATATACTTTATCTCAGGCATTTGAGTTACTGCAATATACAATATTGTAATCAAATTGGTTTGGCTATTACCCCATAATGTTGAAGATTTTTTTGAAAATCTTATTTAACGGGATGAGGAACCTACTGTGGGGCGTGTGTGCTTTTATATGTTTGCACAAATTCTCACATATTTATATTTACACTGGTACAAAGCAAATACGAAGGCTTTAAATTAGGAGTAATTTCATAGCACCGTGATGGCAAACCTATGGCACGCGTGCCACAGGTGGCACATGGAGCCATATCTGTGGGCACGCAAGCATTGCCGTAGTTTATCTCTAGCGCGCATGTGCATGCCGGCCAGCTGATTTTCAGGCCTTCCAGGCCCACCGGAAGTTGAGAAACAGGCTGTATACAGCCTCCTGGGGTGTGTGGGGAAGGCCGTTTTCACCCTCCCCAGGCTCCAAGAAAGCCTCTGGAGCCTGGGGAGGGCAAAAAACGGGCCTACCGGGCCCACCGGTAAACTTTTTGTTGTGTGCCAAAAGCGGGGGGAGCACAGGGATGTCGCGTGCACATGTGCAGCGGGGCAGGGCACGGGGGACATTGAATTATGGCTGTGGGCCCGTGCGCAGTGACCCCCTCTTGCTCCCCCCGCTTTTGGCACGACAACAAAAAGGTTAGCCATCCCTGTCATAGCATAATGTGTGCTGCCTGTTGTCAGAAGCAGATGGTTCTATGTACTCATAATAGTGTATGTGGAAACATAATTTTCTAGGTGCTAGTTTTCCCATCTGTGCTATTTGAGTGATGAAAATTTAAGCTATTATGTAAATTTTACTTTCTCCTTGGCACCTACAGGAGGGTGTTTTAAATAGCACTAATTGCAGATTTTTGTTGTTGTTGGAATTATAGTTGAAGATGTAACAGGTTAAATATCATCTCCCATGCATTGCTGATTTATGTCTGTCATTCGCTATCTGTCTTTCTCTCATACACACACACCCTAAAAGTAGCACCAGGTGCTATTTTTTAAAATGCTGACATACCTCAAGGTGATTAGTTTACATCTCATCTACTTTTGCCTTTTATCTCCATGCCTGTAGTCATTTGCTACCAAAATACTTCAGGCAGCTGTCATGTAGGAATTAGAGTAAAGTTACCAGATTTCTTTTTAGAGTGTTTTTCTTCCAGTTTGTGTCTTTATTTTTTTAAAAAAATTGGATGGCAGAATTGAGGATGGCCCCTTGATTGGGGAAAAAACAACTAAAAATGTACAGAAGGCTCTAATTCTGCTACAATTGTTTATTTGGGGTTTTTTGTAGCCCTGTTTGATAGCCTTAAGTTAATGTTTTTTGCCACCTGTCTTCTACCCCCTTTTTAAAATTAAAAATGCCTGCTGATCTAGCATTGGGATGTCAGATTTCTAATATGATGGAGCTTTACTTAAAATAGAAGACATATTTTAAAAGCATTCTTCCTGAATCACCAGAAATTTAACAGGGAAACTACCAAAGAGTGAGGATAGCTGTCTGAACATAAAAAGTAAAGTTGTACAGAATATGAAATAGTCACTGTTTAGCTATCAATAAATTGCATTATGTAGTTCTTAAAGGGAATTTTTACAAATGAATATTTCATTCATATCTACTCCCCCTTCTATTGTGTTTTTCCCCACATCTCACAGATGCATTCATTTTAGTGTGCTAAAACCTACACTGCATGTTTTTATAACTCAGAGCTTATAAAATGCTCTATTGATCCATCCGCTATCTGCATGTCTGTCTATTTAATTTTTCTATGAGCCCAACTACAATGTACATGAATTCAATGTTGTCCAGATGTTCGGAACTACAACTCCCACATGGACCAGCATTGTCCATGCTTCCTAAGGTCGAGAGAAGTTGAAATCCAAACCATTATGTACAAGGGCTCTGTAGTATAGTATAACATCAGAAGTACATTGTCTTATCTGGAGGATGTTTTGCTGCATTATATAGCTATATAATAATTTGTGATGTAACACCTTTTCCAACCCCAGATGCTATGGTCAAAAAGTACAGTTAAGGGAGTGTGATTACACATTTTAAGAATATAGGGGTGAAAAGAACTCCATCATAAATATTAATAATGTCAGGGAAAGATAAATCTTTATCATCAAGTTTTAAATGGAAAAAAGACAAGATATGTTAAAGGTTAGGAAGAACAATTCACGGCATCAGTGATACCCTAGTTCTGCTTGTTAGGTGAAATGAATGGAATTTTAATAAAACACAAAACAGGAAGAAAGAACTATCAATATATTTTATAGATGTAATCCGCAGCGTTTGGTTAAACTATTTGGTATTTAGTTGGGGCATTTAATATTTTAGAATAACTGTAAAGACCATCTTCAAACAATCCCTAGAGATGAGTTGTAATTCCTGTCAGTATGCATTAAGAATTATGTCCACATTGGAAGCAATTCCCCAAATGAAAAAGAGAATAATCATAGCTAGCCTTGAAATATCTGAGGTTGGGATTGATTTCTAGTGTTTATTTATAAATTACATCTTATAACAGATTGAATAACTTTTCTATTCCTTAAATAATTACCTGCTGGATTTTGTACATTGTTGATTTCTGTGAGGAAAGTCAAGTATCCTTAAACTGTGCATACTAATTAATATATTTTTTTCTAGGCATTTCTAACAGCGATAGGAGACAAAAATCGTAGGACTATCCTTGCATTAGAACACATGTTTGCACCTGTGTTGGATGGCGCTGTGTCTACACTACTTGGCGTGTTAATGCTTGCAGGATCTGAATTTGACTTTATTGTCAGGTAGAGCTTGCTTATTTTCGTCTTTTCCCCTTTGTTTTATGGGAACAAAATGAACCTCTTCACGTACTTGATTACTCAAATGTCCTTACAATTGAATAATAAGACATGTGGATAAGAGAAGCAGTATTCTCTTGGATTGTATGTCAGTGTTACACCAATGAAAAGCAATTTTATCCAAATTTGTCAATGAAATAAAATCCCAACTACATGGCTGGAAACAAAAAATTGTGCAAAGTACTCCAGAACTTTTGTTCAAGCAAAAAGCAAGGAGGACATAACAAGCAAAACTCCCAACAATTGGCTTTAAAGTTTACAATACACTTTTTTTTTCTTCCCTATTCTTTATTTTATAACCTCTTGCTTGATAAAGAGTTCAGGACTATTTGCCCCTGCTTTTTGTAAAATGTTGTTTTGCTGTAATAAAAGCACCATCCCATTATGGATTGTAGGCGACATTGTTAGCAGAATTAGTTTTGTAACTGTTTTTCTCTCTTTTGTCTCCTGTCTTGTCTAAAAGTGGAAACAGATTTCTCTTGTTTCTTTATTTCTGAACATGGAGATCCGATTATTTGCAGTCTCAATATGGGTTTGGGGATTTCAACTGGGTTAAAGGATATACACACAGAGAGAAAGGGAGATGCAGCCGCCCTAATGGGTGTGGATTATCACAATTCCTAATTTCTTTTGTCTATTTCTGTTTTGGAAACTTGGACATTTCTATTTACCTGCTGTTGTAATAATGTAACATGCCTGCAATCTTGTGGCTTCACTTTTACTGTACCGTGTTACTACTTATTTTAAACTCTGCTTGCACTACAGGTGCTGAGAAAAACTCAGAAAGGCTCTTTGGCAGCCAAGACTCTTATTTAATAAAAACATTAAGTTAATCTCAAAAACTAGGTACTGCCAGTGGTTAACCAGAGATGGCCTTTCACCAAAACACTGTTTAGAACAATTTATATAGAGAATAGTTTTGAACTGAGAAGCCTATAAAACTATAAGTACCCTGGTCCTTTCTCTCTCCCCCTTCTTTTTCCAAACCAAAGGTTATAAAAAGCTTTTCTTGACCAAAATTAAAAAAGAAAATTGGAAATGAATGTTAAATCAGCAGGAATACAGGATGTCCTGTAAAATCCATAAAACTGCCTATTGGCCTTTCTGTTGGAACCAAAAGGAAGCTGGTGGATTTTATTAAGGATATTAATTTCTCAGATAAAAAGAATCAAACTAATTCTTGCTTTAGGAAAACTCTCTGGAGGGATGCTGGAAATGGATCCTATCTGCCTCTTAGGCAGAGTTTTTGAGCAGAAAAGCAACTCTCTACAATATAGCATTGCAGACAAAATATAGAATAAGGTGAATGGATATTATGAGAACTATCGATTCTAACTATTAGATTACTAAACATAGTAAAAGTCAAAAGAACATTACAGAAATGTAATTTTTCAAAATATTTTGAAATTATACCCCTCTTATATCTCCAAATTTGAAGCTAGTTTACGCTTAGCTTCCCATAAGCTTCCTCTTACTTCTCTCCCCTATTCAGTTCTTCATTGCATTCCTGCATCATTTCTCTCCTCAGTGTTTACATAAGGTATTCCAGATGTGATTTCATCATGAAGTAATTAGGCTTTTGAGTGCTCAGCCTCAGCAATTGGGCAACTCTGAGCCTTACTGTATTTATATTGGGTAGAAGAAAATAGCAGAGCAGAATAGTAAGTGGTAGAAAGACGATGAAGAGCAGTTGTCTGCACCACATGGTTTACCTTCCCCTGCTTGCCTCCAATTGCTAATCTGCTTCCATTGATTGTGCTAAGAGATGCTTTTCTATCTTACTTGTTGGAGTAAATATTAATTGCCTGTCAATAGCTTCTACCTATGGAACACAGGGAAGGGCATTGCCATTTTATTCTTTACTTCAGGCAAGAGATTACTAGGAATGTGCATTCTTCATTGATACCAGTGGGGCTTCTGTTCATATTTTATTGTGAGAACAGAACACCACACAATTAGTGGTCACTACCGCCCCTTAGGTCTCCACTCTTGAAAAATTACTTTTTTCAAATAATTATTTTTAGTGTCTTAAAATTGAGCTTGGCTCTTATTATTTTCTAGCATAACCTGGATTTAGTTTATTTTCCCTCCCTCCCTCCCTCCCTCCCCCCCTCTCTCCCCCTCTCTCTCTCTCTCTCTCTCTCTCTCTCTCTCTCTCTCTCTCTCTCTCTCTCTCTCTTGAAGATGGATGGAAAGTAAATAAGCAAAGCTTCTTGGGCATTGTTTCAAGAAAGGCTGCAATTTTCCCTCAAGGAATAGATTTTAAGCTCAACAGCACATCTAGGTAGAGGTTTTATACACTCAGTGGTCAGATCTGTAATCAGTCTGTTTATTCTAGAGCAAGACTGATGAGCTGCAATTGATTCCAGCAAGTCTTATATGAAGTTCTGTATGAACTCCCAAGTTGTGTTCATTTACATTAGTGTAGGAAATTGGTTGCTTATTTCCCCCTTCCCCTTTCCACTAATTCAGACCAGAAACTTCCAAATGTAATACTTCCCTAACAGGAGGATAGCTGTAGGTTTTTTTTTCCTGTTTAAGCCACATAGTGAGCAAAACTATAGTGAGCAAAAGAATTGACTCATCTCCCCCTTCTGTTCCTTTCACCTTCAAACAATTGTCTAAAATCTGTACCACAAAATGCATATTTGGGGCTAGCCTGTTTCTCCCTAGTCCCTCTCTCCACTCTCTCTCTTTTTCCTGCTCCCTATCCCATCCCCACTTTCCCCCATGCTGGATATTTTCTAGCCCAGCTTTCTTCTTGGTTGGCAGGTTTGCCATGTTATTCATGAAGGATGCCAGACCTTAGCCCTCAATGGTGGGAAAGGACAAGCACTTGTGCACTCTCCTCTTCTTCCATAGTCCTTCAGCCTTTATGTTTGAATTGGGTGACACAAAACAAGAGCGTTCAGAGATGCTAAATTGTTCAACAAAAGATTAGCCTGCAATGTAGCTTGGCTATTGTAGAGGGCTCTTATGCAATACAATGCTCTGGCTTACCACAGAATGGCTTGCATTTTCTTTGCAAAAGCGGGTTCCTGTGTTTAAAAAAGGTTGCAATTTGAGCTATTTGGTAAAAGTGGAGCTCACAGAATTCAAGGCGGAAAGTTATGATTAATGAATGGCAAGGGAAAGCCTTACCTGATACACTAGAGATTTAATTAGAGATTCTGCTGTTAGATGCAGGAGCATTTCACACTGGATTAGTTGCTGGGAGAAGTGGACTTCTTTCTCCTTCTAGGCTAAATTGTTTAAATTCTACACCCTTCACTTCATTTGTTTGCTTCTGCTGGATTTTCACTAATGGAGGGCCTCTTTCATTGTATTTGTGCTTTCAATCCTTTCAGTCATTCAGTTTGCATTCCATATTTTTGTGTTTGTGTAACACGTTCATAAATAACATTACATGCTGCAAGATTCTGGCAAATTAACAAACTTTTTTTCTCTTTCCTTTTTTGAACTAACACTTTGGTTGTGGAATGTAGAGCTCTCTAATCCAAAAGGTAAAAAAGAAAACAAAATTGCATGCTGAGTTTATTCATTAAATAGAAAAAAAAATGAACACTATATTAGCATGCTTGCTTGAATATTTAATGAAAGTATATTATCTGTTTTGTTTTCTGTGTTTAGTATTGAACACGCTTTCTGATTGTAACCGTTTTATATCTTTAAATGTTTCAGGTATTTCTTTGCTGTTTTGGCAATTTTAACTATCTTAGGCGCTTTGAATGGATTGGTGCTGCTTCCTGTTCTCCTTTCCCTATTTGGACCATATCCTGAGGTCAGTATTATGCTCATTATAGAAATTGTTGTCATCTCCCTCCCCCGAAGTTCTGTTATAATGATACATATTTTGTGCTTTTACCATTTTAAATTATATTGCTTTATAATATTTGGTACTTTGATAACATAATTCAAAATCCAAAACTTAATTTGTTTTACAGTTCTAACTTTTCTGATGTAGAAAAGTAGATTCTGAAGCAGAATTTTTATCAACAATTTGTGATTGGATATCAGAAGTGTTATTCTTCTGGCCCAACTATTGTTATCTTCCATTTGTGTGCCTCTTTTTCAAAAACAGAACACTGGAAAGAAGGGGAAAAGGCATATAATACAAAATTTCGCAAAGCATAAAAATATATTAAAATATATTAAAGCCCTCCATACATCATAGCTAGTGGCCCCAGTTGATTGCTGTTAATCGGGGTTGACTTCATTCCAATACTTGCAGCTACCTCTTAGGCAGGTCTGTTACTGCCATCTTCACTTTTTTTCCCTTTCTCCTGAAACATTTTTGGGGGGGCCAAAAGAAGCACAGATGATGACATCAAGTTTGGTCAGTTGCAGACCCAGAAGACAGCTGCTGGGATACTAGCATGCCTGCTTGAAAAATAATGTTCTTCATGCAGTATTCATAGAGAAGATGTTTCAGATAGCATTCTTCTAAACACAAATTATGTACTTAAACTAAATACTTGAAACAGCAGATTTTTTAAAGAAAGCATGTACTCAGGGAAGAATCATCATTCTTAGGTCTTTTAATGCTCTAATAACCATTTTTTTTACTATCTTGTCTCATTTCCATCCATCAATTCAGAACAACTTTCTCCTCAAAAGCTCAAATTCCATTCTTTCAGAATTTCTCCACAATTCATCTTCTGTTGTTTCATTGTTACTGTTCATTAGAATGTTACAATGAAGATCCCCAATCTCTGAATTCCTTTTTTCATACTTCCCCAGAATCACTATATGGTAGCAATTCATACTTTTTGACACATATTTTAGTCCTCTTTTCATAACAGAACACACACCTTCACTGTCATACATGTATTCATCAGCTCCAGTCTAAAAGATGAGACCACCCTTATTCAGATTATTTCCTCTTTCTTTGTTTCATAAACGCTTCCTTCCTTCCTCCCTCCCTCCCTTTCTCTATATTCCAAAACACAATCTTTCACATGCCATATAGATCCATGAATCTTTCATGCCATATAGATCCACTTTCACTTCCTTTTATAGCTTTAGTCAATTGAGGCTTTTACATAGTTCTTCACCCCCTACTAATGGCAAAGACAGTTTGGGTCAATTCTGGTATATTTTGATCAGAATGTCACAAGTGCAATCAATGGCCAGTTTTACCCCAAGCATACTTATACTACTGTATTAACTTAGATACCTAAACTGCTGCTTACCTTCCAAACCGGCATATTTTTGGTATCCTACCAACTAGCAGGTTCATACAATATACGAAAGACTGTGAAAAATTAATGAATGACGGGAGAAAAGGAAAGAAGGGAAAGAAACAAGAATGAATGTGGAAAAAATATAGCGAGAAAATAAGTCCTGTATGAAAAAAATATTAGAAGATTGATCAGTTGGTCTTTCAGTGAACTGAACAGGAGGTGAATGTAAACATGGGTAAAATGGAAGATGCTTCAGTGAAAAGAATTATGCTACAGATTGTCACAGAAGTATGTAATTGGAGGTATGAAATAATTGGAGCCCTTTTATTCATAACAGCAGCAACCCATGTATCATGTGCAGTAACACAGTTTAAATAACAGTGTATCAAATCTTAATACATTTTATGTTCCTGCACTGTTCATCAAGGATTATTAGGTGGAAAATGTATACAATTTGTCTATAATTCTTTAAAGACTGATCGTGGGATTTCTCCAATCTTGAAAAAATGCTCTAAGCTTTCATTGATCTACTAAGAGCTTTAAAAATGTTATTCTCAGGTTTCTCCAGCTGATGGAAGGAGCAGACTACCTACCCCTTCTTCTGAACCTCCCCCAAGCATTGTGAGGTTTGCTGTTCCACCAACTCATGGTCAAAATGGCTCAGATACATCTGATTCCGAATACAGTTCTCAGACAACAGTATCAGGAATCAGTGAGGAACTACATCAGTATGAGGGCCCCCAGAGAACCGGGGCCCCAGCCCATCAAATCATTGTTGAAGCAACTGAAAATCCAGTGTTTGCCAAATCCACGGTAAGTAACTGAAATCCCATTTGCTATTTAATTTATAGTACCATTGAGCCCACATTCTTATTGTTAAAAATAATCCTGAAGCAGGGAATCCATTTCAGGAAAGAATATTTATAATAAATTAAAATAGAAAAATACTAAATTATAATTCTTTGAACAAGGGATATTGTTAGGTAATACCTATTTAGAAATTTCATGTGACTATAAGGGTACGGAAAATAGTAATTGTTTGTAAGTGAAGGAGATGATTAATGAGCAAGGCATGTTTTCATAATCTCATCTCAAGAACACAAAAAGAGGTAATAAATACAAAGTCTATTTTCATCTGTCCTTTAATTGTATTTTTTTAACTTTACTTATTACAAAATTCAACTGCAGTAATAAAAAAAAGCAAAGTGTTACTACTAAATGAATGTAGCTGGGTTTAATTTGTATATTTTTTTTTTCTGACACAGAGATTTGAGTAGAGAAGTGGATTTGGTATAGTTTGGTTGAGATAATTTCCAAGTAAGCAATTGAGTTTTGCTAGATTCTCTTTCATCAGCATGAAGTAGCCTTTGAATGTAAGCGGGGAAGAACAAAAAGAAAAAATTCTAGCTGGATATAAGTTGACACAAGTGATGAATATTTATCAAAATATTTTTCCAAACCATGTCCAATTCATATTTGAACAAGCTAAAGTAAGAGGTAAAAAGGGATTCTTTTGCTTCGCTTCCAGTGCTGCTTCTGAGGTGAAGAATAGGTAATTAGAGCCATAAAAAACAAGTAGAGTCAGGGGCATCCATGGTGGCGAGGGGAAAATCAACAGGATCAAAATGGCAGGTGTGACTGGGCAATTAAAGGCCCGTCCTGTTTACATAAGAATGACAAACATTAAAAAGGGGCAGGAGTTTAACTGTCTGACTGTGCCAAGCATCTTGATATTGCTGACCCCACCTGTGGATGCCCCTGACCAGAAGTATACTTCTGGATCAAAAGTGTTTGATTCAAAAAGATGCTGTACTCTCCATGTTTTGAGGTTTTATCAGTTAAATGTGCCATCTCATTAATATTTTCTACTTGAACTCTATCTCTTGCCAAAAACCCAGAGTGTTTGCTTATGAAACCACACGAGAAAATTTCCATTCCACTTTTTTGCAAAAGGAGAAATTACTTAAACAGATTGACGAGAACACACTTGAATAAGATTGTGGAAAGTGATTTTGTGGATGCAGGCACAATCTTTTGTTTTGCTGGAATGATGCTCTTTGTTGCTTGTTATGAAGTAAAGGGGCTATAGAGCAGCAATAAATGTAGGCTTCGAAGTAACTTAGCTGTGGCAAAGTAAATTTGATTAATGCAACAAAAACTGTTTTATGAACCAGATAAAAATGTTTGGTTCCACATTATTGCTCAAAGGTTTCCCTGCCTTTTTTTTTTCAGGTGATCCAACCAGATGCAAGCTATTATCCATCAAGTCCAAAGCTACAATCTAACCAAGACCCTGGAACCCAACAAACATGGCATAAAAGCAAGAAATTGAAAAGAGAACCAAGGGAAGGACTACAACCACCCCCTTACCGGCCACGTAGAGATGCCTTTGAAACTTTTACTAAAGGGCATTCCTGTTCTAGTAACAGGGATTGCTCTGGTCAGAGAACTCGTTCTCAGAACATCAGAAATCCAGCCTTCACTGCCACAGGCTCTTCTGTGCCACCATGCTGCCAGCCTATCACTACTGTGACTGCTTCAGCTTCAGTTACTGTAGCTGTACATCCTGCTGGGCATAATCACAATCCTCATGGAGGAAGCTGTCCAGCCTGTGAGAGACACCATGAAGCCGAGCATGGACAATTTGAGGATCCTCATGTGCCATTTAATGTCCGGTGTGAGAGGAGGAACTCTAAAATAGAAATCATAGAACTGCAAGATGTTGAATGTGAAGAAAGGACTCATGGCGAGGGCTCAGATTAAGGTAAAACTTTCCATCCCCAGTGGGTAGCATTACTCACACCATCTGCCAGCATGCATAATTGCTTTCAGTGCACTTCTTACCAATCTCAGCATTGATGTAATGGTTAGAATGCAGTGTTTCAGGCTAATTCAACTCACCTCCAGGAGTTCGATCCTCACCGACTCAAGGTTGACTCAGCCTTCCATCCTCCCAAGGTTGGTAAAATGAGGACCCAGATTAATGAGGGAAATGTGCTGATTCTGTAAACTGCTTAGAGAGTGCTGTAAAGCATGAAGTGGTATATAAGTCTAAGTGCTATTGCTGTAGCCTGCTGTAGTTTTAAGCAATTTATTGTATTAAGGAATTTCTAAAACACAGGGGAACATGCAAATGAGATGGGCAATTATATGAATTCAATAAATAAAAAGGGGCTTGAGTCTAGACTCAAATTTAAGGGACAATATCTCAATTTTCTGGGTTCACTTGATAGCAGCCAGGATGATTATCAATAAAGAAGGGAAAAGTTTCATGCCTTTACTGGTTATTAATTTAGCTAACCCAGTTTGGACATGCTGATAAATTAGTTGAAAAGATGAGAAACAAGCCAGTATTTTCTATTTCCCTTTTAATGCTACACTCACAGGAAATCTGTGAGTGAAGCCAGACACATAGTGTCTGCATTATGTATAGGCACAGCCTATGTTCACTGGAGCCATTAAAGAAAGTTATGGAATATGACAGTACGATATGGATAGTGGTGGGATTATTTTTTTTTATTACCGATTTTGGTGGGTGTGGCTTGGTGGTGTGGCGTGGCATGGAATGGCATGGTTTGGTGAGCGCGGCAGGGGAAGGATACTGTAAAGTCTTCATTCCCACCCCACTCCAGGGGAAGGTTACTGCAAAATCCCCATTTCCTCCGGATCAGCTGGGACTCGGGAGGCAGAGAATAGATGAGGGTGGGGCCAGTCAGAGATGGTATTTACCGGTTCTCCGAACTACTCAAAATTTCCGCTACCGGTTCTCCAGAACTGGTCAGAACCTGCTGAATACCACTTCTGGATATGGGGGAAAAATTACAATATCTTATTTTAATAACTAAACAGAGGTGGTTAAATTGCTTTTCTTGGAATTTACTATGTTCACATTAAAGCACTCAGAAAAGTCCAGATCATATATATAACTTGTGTGTTTTATACACACACACAGAGGTCTTGTGACTTTTAATTGCAGCCTTGCTGAATGGCTTCAGCTGAAATGATTTATTTATCTTTGCTGAACTTTAAGTGAACAGGGGGGCTCCTTTTTTTGTCTTTATTTGTACAGGGAAATAACTGAAGCAAAGAAGAGGCCAAAGATGGGAGACCTCGTCTTTCCAGAAACTCTTGAAGAGAAACTACTTCAAGTTATGGGGGGGAAAAGGACAATGCTGCACCAGGACAAATATTCCCCTTTACTGTAATCTATTGTAAAATGTTGTGAATTATTTCTATAAATATTTAAAAGATGTACACATCTGTAATATACGAGAGAAACTGTGTAAAGTAGTATAATCTGGAGTTATGTTAAACTCCTGTTTAACAGAGTGGGGACTGTTGTTTGTGCTCTGTACTTACTGTACGTTGATTTCTATGCCACAATTAAGCTTAAACTAGTCATAAATTTCAGCATATGTTGTTGCTGCTTAAATATTGTATGATTTACATGTATAATTCTATGCAAATATTGCTAATGTATTAGGATATTTTTGTGTAAAGGTTCATAAATATATATATTTGTGTGTGTGAGAGAGAGAGTGTGTTAAACTATTTTAAAATTTTTCATATCACAGCCCTGTGGTAGTATGAAATACTTCTGTTAACTTTCAAACACGCTATGCGTGATAATTTTTCTTTTCTGTTTTTTCCTTAATGAGCAGATATGAAGAGCAGTGTGTTTAACGCTGATGACTGAAGTAGGCATAGCTGTGTGGTTTGTGTACTGTAACTGTTTTGTGGAGAACAGATTATTGTGAACGTCTAACATACGCCCTGCTGAAATGAATGTAGCAATGAAAGTATGTGACTTACCTATAATTCTCATATCTAACTAATGGCTCACATGTAAGAGCTTTGGCCAGAAAATTATATGTCATATAATCCCTTTTGCCTTTAATAACCTACCAATGCTGGCTAACAATACAGATTTGGACTTTTCAGTTCAATCAGCATTAAGCAAGTTTTCATGGGTGAGCAAATGTTTGTAAGTTTGTAAGTTTGACTGATTGCAAATATTTGCAATCAGTCAATAATAATTAATTAATTAATAAAATTCCACATCCAGTTTAAACAGCTGACAAACTACCAATAATAATAATGGAGCTTAACAACTGTTAATACCACCATTAAAAAAAAAGGAGTGGAATGATTGGGAGCCAGCATTTGTAAGTTCTAGGCTTCTGATGTATTGTACTTGGCCATGAGCAAACTACAGAAACTGCCTCTGTTGACTGCACCGTGGCTCCAGTGAGAATAAAATGGCCTCTTATCCTCACTGCATCATCCCATCTACTCAAAACAGAATAAGAATGAGATGCTGGAAGCTAAATGGTAAAAAGTTTGGTGTGTTTTAGAACTGCACTTCATCATCATGATCATAGATGGTCATGGCTGCAATATGCAACACAACAGATGTATTTGATCTTTTTTGTCCCAACATTTTATGAAACCTTCAAGTTAGTCAAAGAACATTTCCATTCAGGTTATCAGATCTGAAAAGGTGTCCCTTTTAATGTTGTCTTCTCCAAGCTGGCAACTCTGGTGTGTTGTACTATAGGCTTTTTAATCAGGAAGATACCAGGTTGAGAAATATATCTTAAGTATTAATCATTTAGATGTTTAAATAAAGAACAGTATTTTTCAAATTTGTAATAATGAAAAATGGCCATATTAGGTATATTCCAGCAAGAAAGTAAGATGGTTCATTTAACACTATTTTATGGCTTTCATTTCTCAGAGTAAAAGAGTAACAAATGTATAAAAAAATATAGTAAAATAGGAAGAAATTACTTGAAGCAATCAAGTAAGAAAGGCAAAGCCTTGAAATGATACCAGAAGACATAAGCTATACAAATTATTAATACATGCCCTGTATTCCATATAAAACTACATAAACTTGAAGGTTTTCATCAGAAATTTAGTAAAAGTTTTATCCTTTCATTAAATGTTCTTTTAAGTTTTCAATTTTATACATTCTTTCTGCATTTCAAAGAAAACATATTTGTTTTTACTATGATATGAAAAGCACAGTCAGCATGGATTCCCTACCATCTTTGTTAACATTCTGCATTTTAGTTTGAAATAGTAACAGAGGCTGAAAAAAAAATGAGGTTAATTTTCTCTGCTGTGTCTGGATCTCATGAAAAGAGGAATTCCTGCGTTTCTTCCACACGTTGCATGAGCTGCCCTTACAATATCATCATCCACCACTAAGACAATTCTCCTTTTCAACAAAACTCTGAGGACAGTGGTGAAATCCAATTTTTTTACTACCGGTTCTGTGGGTGTGGTTCGGTGGGTGTGGTGTGGCTTGGTGAGCATGGCAGGGGAAGGATACTGCAAAATCCCCATTCCCTCCCCACTCCTGGGGGAAGGATATTGCAAAATCTGCATTCCCTCCCCTCTCTGGGACCAGCCAGAGGTGGTATTTGCCGGTTCTCCGAACTGCTCAAAATTTCTGCTACCAGTTCTCTGGAACCTGCTGGATTTCACCCCTGTCTGAGGAGCATGAGACAACATGCAAACAGATCTACATATAATTTGAGTTAAAGCACGATTATACGCACAGTATAAACACACTGATAGCATTTGAAAGCAGTTTCTTGCTGGTGCATAGCTCAGCAAGTACTCTTCTGAACACACCTCAGTGAGTGAAAGCTAATGCTTTTACACAACGCATGTTAAATTTGAGACTTGTGCTTATCCATCAGCAATATATTTGATAAGAAGTTCTGGAGCAATTGATTTTACCAAATTAGCCAAGAGCAGCTATGTCTAAAAAAAAACCCCATATATTTAAGCGATTTTGCATCAACCAATCTAATATCTAAATTCAGCTTAACTTTAGTAAGAAGCAGCGTCATACAGACAAACCTTGGTAGCCTGTATTGCGTGAGCCTCATGATTATTTCAGTAATTAATCTTCCTATTTAGTCACTGTTTAAATAGAGTAATAATACCTGTCTTTTGCTCAGTTTCTCATTTCTCCCTGCTATATATCTGTCATTATAATACATTAACCAGCATGGCCCTTTCAGCTCCAACATTAGTAATACATTGAGGCAAAATGGTTGTAGTTATCTGTCTAATTTGAATTTTCTATAGAGCAACTGGGTAGCTCATTGTCTCCGTGGTACAAAAGGCAGGAAATTTCACTCTAGGCCTATTTTGCCACAGAAGCATCTAAATTATGGTAAAGTTAGATTATTATAAAGAGATTCTCTTGTCAGGTACTGGCGACTCAGAAGTTATGACAGTCGCTTATTTGCTTCGTGTTATTTTTTAAGAAAGAGGGAGAAAGTGAGCAAGTACAAGAATGTAGTTTTCAGTAGTCCTCACCTTAACTTTCCTCAGTGTGTGTGTTTGTGTGTCAGAGATATTTTTGCCTTTTTATTTTATGGGATTGCCTACTCCTTGGCGCATAGTATTGACCATTTTCTCTTGTCACATTGGCAAAAGATTTCAGTGATCAGCTCTTCTATGTTTTTAAATGATAAAATGTTGATATTTATATTTTTGTATCATAAGAATGTTTTCTTACAGTATTTGTCATGCCAGTTTATAACAAACAAAATGCAGGGATTTTATTTCTATTGGAAACACGATTACAGCTATGTTTTTACTTTTTAATTGAAATTTTTATTTGTATAGAATGCTTACTAATGTTAAATAGGAAGAGAATATATAACATTTACATTAAGAACTCATTCAGTAGGGGTTTTTTTAGAGTGAGAAGTCGAAAGGAAAAAATATTCAGACTGGTTCTCATTGACTGTTTTTAGCAGGAATGGGTTTGTATTTCAGTTACAAAGATAAAAGTATGCCATATAATTTATTTATATGAAAATTTATTTTTGTAGTGTACATAGTAGTCCTCAATTCTTTTGACAGAATTATATTTTTAAAAGAGTTTATATGTGACAATACCATTATGTTTTGGAACAATGCTGAGACATAAAATACAATGCACATTTTTCACGATATCCCATTTGCAAACAGAATCAAGGTCAACAGTATTAAGGAGAGTGTGGAATATTGCATGTCATTCTGAACTGTTTTAGGGTTACCATTTTGTGATCTAGTGTGGTTCTCAATTTTAAATCATAAATGAAAATTTGTACAAACTCTCTAAACATTAATGTTCAAACACTGATAGAAATTCTAACATGAATAAAAATATTATAACTTATTGTTTACGTATTTTGTTTGTGGAACATTTATTAAAAATGGTGACTTGCATCTTCTTTGATTCATACAGGCTAACTGAAACAATATTCTGGACAACCTTTTTAAACACAGTAATGACCTTCATTGTTTAACATGAAATGTTTATGGTGGGATTTTAAAGACCTGCATAGAGGCCATCTCAAAGTTGCAACAAATTTTTGGTGTGCAGCCACAGATCTATAATTCTGACAGATTGTGGGCTGAGACTGCTTTGCTGCCTAGACAATAAAGGGAGTTCTTCATTGAATTCTCAAGAACCAGATCTAATGGATTAGCAGTGTTAATCGGTTATAACAAGCAATAGTCTTGTGGTATCTTGAAGCAGGGTGGGCAATCTTTTAGGTTCAAGAACTGAACCTTAGATTTTGAAGAGGCTAAGGACCACATCTGATGTGTGAGTAGAACAGGATTTGGGGTAATTTTGAAGGTTTTGTTTGCTTTTTAACTATGAAATATATTCATGATAGCTTATAGTTTGTTCATGTGTTCCACATTTCAAAATGGGAAGCAATTATCCTGTCAAGTTTTCAGTCCACCAAAGTCTGCAAAAGGGGTTTTAACTTGCCCACCCCTACATTAAAACATATATATCCAATGATAATTCATCACTGGCAATTTCATTTGTTCAAGCTGATTTTATCCTACATCTGTCAAAGCAGAGTGCATAAAAGTGTGTTTTAGGTGTAAACATTTATGCCTTCAATATAAGACAGGGATGAGTACTCAACAGAATGCCCATGGCAACCTCTCTTGGTGTCCTCTTGGTTCCCTGCCCCATCACCTCTAGAGTTTGGACAACTTCAGTAAGCATTCTACAAATTGACATATTGAACCACCACCACCACCACTCCAAATACAAAATGAGAAGGGACAACGAATTAGGTTATCAACAAGGTTACAAGTAGTATGTAGAAAGTCATGGGAATGGCCTGGTAGAAGCAAAGTAGACAGGAACACTAGACTTATGGTGATCTGTAACTGACATTTTTCCCCTCATGGATGCAGCTTCCTAGATTGGATTGCTCAAAGTTCGCTCAGCATTCATTTGGAAACCACTTTTCCCATTTATATTTCATATCTTTTACACTATTCAGTATTACTCTTTGGTCTGTGTTAAAACTACCTACAATTCTTATTTCCTTTAACTTTTTTTAAATCATTTTTTTTTAGTAAGGGAACAACATTAACTAAACATGTAGCTAAATCCTTTGACATAAGTAACCATTTCAGAGTGGCACTCATTGAGAGTCTACAGTGCCCTAATTGTACAAGGAGGTGTGCATTCAGCTGCAATACAAGTAAATAATACCTTAGAGGAGAATCTGAAATAGAGGCTGATTATAATTGAATTATCACATTCATGCCATACTTTAATTGATTTTAATGATTAGCATAAGTAATAAGAACAATAATAGGCCTATAATACAAAGAATAAAGTCCTGGTCAAAATAGACAGTGTATGTCCTAGTGTGTGGCTCAAGTGGCTTTGAAATACTTTCCCCATTCTAAATTTTCACAGTTCAGTCCAGTCCACAAAAGCTCTGGGGAAGTCCATGTACACTCTGTTTATGAAAGTTGAAAGATGAAAGGCTGATACAGTATTGTTAACACTGATTAAAAATGAAGAAAAATGTTCATATTTACAGCAAGAGCAAGAAAAAAAGGAAAATTATTGCAAGGAAATCTTAATTTTATAGACTTCAATACAGGGGACCTTCTGAGCAGCAATTTCACCATCTGAGGTAATTCATATCAATCTAATGATATGATACCAACGACATGAATGGTTCCATTGCATCATTTATATGGCATCATCATATAGATGATATAAACTGCCATAATGATCAACTCCTGTATTTAACATGTCATTTGTAAAGAATAAACACTCGATTGGTGTATTAAGGAGATTATACTGTAATTAACTAATTTTTTTGTCTTCTGGTCTGCTTTTGGGGGTCTTTTTTTTTTTTTTTTGCCAAATTAAGGAAATTATAAGGGCACATTTTCTCTGCAAGAAAGTTGCCAAAATTGATATCACAAACTCAAATTAAGAATGGAATTATTTTTCTTAGGAGACAACAGGAAGCAAATAAATATTAAGATGTGTGTATTGTGTGTGGTTTATGATGAGTGTGGTGGTAGGTAAGGAGTTGTATTTTGTTTTAAGCTTTTACTTATTTTATTTTCATTTTTTACTTATCTTGTTTTTTTTCTAATTTAAGGCGCCTCTCCTACTGTATAGTTCGGGCAAAGAAACAGTCAATCTGAAATGACTGAGAATTTAGGTAGCTTCTTAATACTGTGTTTTCCCGAAAATAAGACCCTGTCTTATATTTTTTTGAACCCCAAAATAAGCACTTGACCTTTTTTTCAGGTAAGTCTTATTATTTTGGGGCCAAGGGAGCAAGATGGGGTTCTGATTTCCAGCTCTGTCTCCCTAACCCTAACCAGAAGAAATGGCAGGGACCAACTGCGCTTGTGTTTAAATATTTTCAGGGAGGGCTTATTTTCAGAGGGGGGGATATTTTAGCGCATGCGCTCAAAAGCCCAATTGGGCTTATTATCAGGGGATGTCTTATTTTCAGGGAAACAGGGTATGAAGATGGAGGAAAGCACACTATCTTTTCTTAAGTGCTAGATTCATTGATTTATCAACAGTATTTCTTTTCCTGTCAAAATGGAATTTTTATGCAGTGTTTGAAATATTATAGCCGATGGAATTTGAAAAAATGGGAATGAGCCTTTTGGAGCCAGCCACAGAGTTTTAAACTAGGAGTTTTGTCAAGGCAAAATGCACTCAACTAAAATAACTCTCTCCAGAAAGCCAATGTGACAAATTTGTTGCCTGCTGTAAAAATGCCTCTTAGTTTCTGCTCCATTCCACTTACAATATTAAATAGATATTGAAAGGCAACATAAATCTCTATTGTTTTGTCACAAAGGAAATTAAATCCTGCAGTGCAGCTGATAGACTTCTCACTGCTTCATTAAGTGGAGAACATTTAAGACTAATTTGACAGGAGGAAAAAAATTAACCTTCCTTGCAAACTGCTACATCAGGAAAAATATTACAAAAATGGAATTAAAAGGTTGTACACACTGCTTCACTGAAGATAATAGTTTATTTTCTCACTTGATCTATGATGAGGAGGAATAATTCATTCCCTTCAATAGTAACATCAATTTTACATTTTACAGCCTGAGTATGCAATGAATTATTTAAAAATTTTTTTTTGTAATTCTGATGGAATCACGGCCAATACTTGACTGCCAAATTAATGATTTGCTATGATTATCTTCAAGTATTAAGGCTTCTCGGAGCATTGACTATCCATAGAAGATATCTTGAAGCTAGAAGTTGCCACACAGGATATTAACATATTGACATTGTCAGTCCAGAACAGTTGCCTCTTTATTGGTGTGTCACATACACAAACATACACCCAAGCAAAAGAAACAATTTTGTGCCTCCCCCTCATCTAGGCCACTGTGACTAGTGGTACTCAGCAGTAACATTGAGGCTGGGCCCCGAGTTCAGCTCTATTGCCACTGTTACCATTCAACAAGGCTGCCTTGCACTGTTCACCAAGGTGTGCGAGACTTGGGAATGCTACATTTGCCTCTACGGCCCAGCACTCCCTAGAATCTACTCTGTACTAGTCACCTTCAGCAGTGTTCTCCTGTTAACAGGCTCTGGCAGCTTAATGGAGGCTGTTTCAAGACACTCAAAGACCTTAGTTCCTGAAGCAACTTCAGAGAATGGTCTCGCACAGCCTCTGCAAACCACATGAAACATGCCCCATTCTCGTGTGATTTTCGGAGGCTCTGATGGCCTCACAGGAGCACTTTATGATGCGTGGATTTCAATTCCTAGAATTTCCCAGCAGCAGTTAGGAGTTGAAGTCCACCCATTTTAAAGTTGCCAAGTTTGAAATACAGAAAGCTAAACTATAGCTAGGCAACCCCACTTCACCACTGTAGGAAAAAAACAGCATTGCATTGGTTAACAATGAGTGGTGCAGTGGCCTAGAGGTGGAACTCTCGACTCACAATCAGGAGGCTGTGAGTTCGATACTAGGTAGCAGCAGATACTTTTCTTTCTGGGCACATTGAGTTATTATCTGCTGCGAACTTTACATTGGCGACAGGAAGGGCATCCAGCCAGTAAACACTCAGCTCCATTCAGTTGCCCTAACTCTACCCTGTAAGGGATTACAGCAGTAGTGGGTTTCAAATCCCGTCGCTACCGGTTCGCTTGTGGATGCGCATGCGCAGAAGCTTCCAGACGAGTGGGCAGAGCTTCCCACCGACACCGCTACCAGTTCGCCTGATCCAGGGCGAACCGGTAGCAACCTAACACTGGATTACAGGGTCATTAAAAGACAAAAAAACAAAAACAAAACCCCAAACCCCTGCATTGGTTAACAATAGACTTTGAGACCCAATTCACAGTGCTGATTATTACTTACAAAGCACTATAAATTGAAGCTCTAGGATACACCAGACATTACTTTTACAAAAGTATACTTGCCCATCTGGCCTAAATATTTCTAGTGGGCCTGCTGCATATTGATTACTGTAGGCAGCAGGCACTTCTTTGCAAGGTCTCTCCATGCTTCCTTTGGGTTTACATTAAATTGTAACGTAAACAATATAATGTATCTGCCTCCTTGCACTTAAGGTGCTAAAATTATAGCATCCTTGTTGTTTTGTGTCTTTGGCCAAACTGATTGCGGCTGCTCATCTTGGATGCGTCTGATTAGTTCTACGGTTAGATTGTCAGTCAGATTCATACTTTCTGTGCCAACAACAGACATGATCTATTCATTTGACAGTCACCCAGGGTCACTTGGATAGCAAAAGAGCCTTGGTGGCGCAGTGTACTAAGTCCTGTTAAAGTAGTAGTTAGCTGCCAGCTGCCTGCAATTACTGCAAGTTCAAATCTCACCAGGCTCAAGGTTGACTCAGCCTTCCGTCCTTTCGAGGTAGGTAAAATGAGGACCCGGATTGTGGGGGCAATAAGCTGACTTTGTATTTAAAAAAAAGAACACCGCTTAGGGGGCCCCGAAAGCCCTACTAAGTAGGTATATAGAAAAGTATGAAGGCTATTGCTTAATGCATTGTAAGCCGCCCTGAGTCTCTGGAAAAGGGCAGCATATAAATCGAATAAATAAATAAATAAATTAAAGTCCTGCTGCCTAAATTTGATAAATAAACAAGTTTGTTTGTCTGTCTGATACAAAGGACCTAATTTAAAACCTAATCTGTTCACCAGCCATGGCATTGCAACAGCAGGGTGGGTGGGGGCTTAATGGAAAAGAAAGCAAAAGAAGGACTTCTGTATTGCAGCCACGAGCTTCGCTCCTCAAGATTGTTTCAAGGGTCTGTCTTTAGCAATCGTCAGCCTACAATTTCAGGCTGACATTCTACCTCCAAACGATGGCTTTCCCGCCTTTTAGTCAGCCTTCCCCCCACGCCTAGCCTCCGAAGGGCTCAAGGGGTTAAAAGGCCGCGGCACGGCGAGGAAATCCCACCTTCTGCGCCTCAGATTGGCTCAAGGGAGCCACCGGGAGGAGCAACATCCTCACCCAGCGGCCATTGGCCGCACAGGCTGCCGTTCGCGGGCCTCTCCGAATCTTCCTCCCGCAAGGAAGGTTTGAAAGTTGGGCGGGTGGCAGCAACCCTCGGTGAGTTGCGGGTGAGCGGGAGCGGCTTCGCAGGGGGCAGCAATAAAGCGAAAAGCGACTGCGGAGCCCTTGGGTTGAGATCTCGGCTGAGGCAAAAGCCAAGCTAGATATGGAAATAACGAAAGGAGGACAAAAAAGGCAGCGGCGGTGACTCCGCTTACCGGTTCAGAAGGGATTTGGTGTGTGTGTGTGTGTGTGTGTGTGTGTGGAAGAAACCCACTTTGTTTAACGGGGACGAAACGCGCGCGTGGAGCTGCGCTTTGCATTTCTTTGCGTTTCAGTAAAAGCTGCTTGGATTGTGACACCCGTGCGTTTTCCGACTGGTTCGAGTAAATATCAATGTGATTGACGTGAGCTCAATTGATTGACGTTGTCACTGAATCGCTTTCGGCTCCCAGCGACTACGTGGATTCCCCCCCCCCCCGGGAACTTGTGCTCAACGCTCTCCTAAACGGAATTCCCATCAGTAACCCCCGATTGCCCTCCTCCCGCGGAATCCCGTTGGCAATTCATTCGGATGTCTTCTCTCTTCCCTCCTTCTAAAATTCGCATTTTTTCCTCTAGATTTCCCTCCCTGTTGCAGTTGCGTTTCTCCTCTCCTAAAGGATGGTGGTGGGGTGGGGGGAAATAACTTATTCCACGCAGGCTCGTGATGCAAACATTTCCACGCCGGTCTGTCCCTGCCTTCTCCAGGCGCTAGGTAGACCCGAGCGTCAGGGAGCCTCCGAAAAATAAGGAGCCCCCAGTGAAAGGACTCCAGCCTTGTGTTATTTCCCCACCTGGGAGTAGGATGGAAAACCGGGCTTGCCTCGGAAGGGACAGGGGGAAGAAGGTAGTTGTGATAGCGCGCTTCCCTTTAAAATAATGGCGGGAAAACTCTTGGAGAAAAAAGACAGTGGCAGATTAATGGCTAAAGTGAAGGATGTAGGAAGGGTCATCATTTGCCTGGCTGCTTATATTTCCACCACCCTCTCCGACCCTTCGAGACCAAATACCCGGGACTTCCTCCAGCGCAGAATTTAGAAAGGAGTTTTGCGCCTCTCGCGCACGCGCTGTCCGGGGATGGTAGAGGGCGCGCGGGAAAGAAATGCTTGCGGAGGTGGTTTCCCGCCACTGGGCGAAATGAAGCGCGCTTCGCTTCCAGAAAAGAGCATCGTGCAAAGGCCTGGTAGCTTCTTCACAGCTTCATCCTGGTCACTCTCTCTCCCCGCCCGGCTGTTCTTTTTGGTACCAAGATGGTTGGAAAGGGCGGCTGAGGTGGTACACTTTGAGTATGCTCTGCTAAAAGAAATGCCTTATTTGTATGTCATCATATAAAGCGGAATACAGGCAGTCCTCGATTTCCAACAGTCCACTTAGTAACCGTTTGAAATTACAACGACACTGAAAAAGGTGATTTAATGACAGTTACAACCATTAGAACAGGGGAACCTGCTCAGCTTTGGAACCACTGTAAAAGAAGTACTGTAAAGAAAAGTTGTATAGGGAGGAGGAAACAATGATTTCTCCCCACTCATCCTGTTTTGATGCAAGCATCCTGACTGAGGATGCTTTGAACAAGTACACATCCTACTAAATCAGATTGCTTGCTATTAAATATTATATTTCCTAGCATTCTCTTACCTTATTGTGCAAACTGAAGTTTCTGGGTAGGTTACAAATCAGATATATGTAATAAGATCCACTTGCTTCCATTGTTCAGCAGCTGCTATTTTATGTTTGTGCTTATACTGTATATAATCCTCATGATTAATAACTTGATGGTTGTAGCTTCCCTATACACTGTACAGTACAAGACTTTGAACCAAGTTGGCTTTGTTTTGTTGCAAAGTAAGAGAAAAAAGGCCTGAATAAATGGAGCATTTTCTTTTTCATCACTTTTGTAAGTGAAGATCAAGCCATCTATTATCAGGAATAAGAGTGAGGCTTTGACCTCATGATAAGAATATCTAGATTAAGTTGCTATATTAGAGCTCTAAAGAGCTAGGTTCAAATCTTTATTTTACAGTGCAGTTTATTGCTGAATTTTGAACCCGTCCTACCTGCAGGAAAGATTGTCCCCTTTAAAGCCTGGCAGATGCTTTGCTATGGAATGAAATCCAAAATGTGGAAATTGGGAATGTTCATGCATGGTATTTAAATGACAGCTATTTCTTTATATGAGATAAAGCAAGTAATGCTCTATTCAGAGCAAAGTAAGCAATCCCCAAATTCAGGGTATGTTGTCAAGTTTTAGGTGAGGACGCTGATTGTGTATTTTTACTAACAATCTGCTACAAATATCTGTAGGTAAGGTAATGAGAGGTGAATTCATCTGGTAGATTTATATTCTGCCTTTGCCCATGAACTCAAAGCAGTATACTGACTAGTCCCTCCAAGATTCTCATGACAATTCTTTTCAGCTGAGACAGCGAGTGGTCCAAAATCATCTAGGAGGTATCTATTTGCCATGTTTCTCTCTATTGGCTTAGCTCTTTAATGAATAATTTCTAATTTTTCATTAACAGCTATATAATAAAGACCTTTTATCTGTTAGACTTTTTAACTGGAATTTGAGAATCTAAAAATAACAGTGGTCATAACACTACTACTCTTTGGACAAATATTAACATCTTATTAGCAATGTATTTTGTGGAGGTTGCCCTAAGTTTACATTTCCCCCTCTGATTTTTGTTATATACAGATGATTGATCTGCCACTGCCATCTCTTGGATAGAAATAGATTTGCTAAACAAATAGTTTCATTTTTGCCCTCTTGTGGACTGGCATTTATTCAAAATCCTGAAAATCTAACATGATTTTTTGTAGTATCCACAAATGACTAAGATGTTCAGTGAACAATTACAATATGAAAATTAAATCAGTTTTCATATTTTAATATGTGGCATAAATTTAGATTTCACTGCTTCTCCATATTTTGCTATTGTAATTGTTGTAATATCTTTCATATAGCAATCTAAATTTTCTGATATAAATGTAACCCTAATTCTTTTTTAAAGAATGTGATTTCTTAGTACTGTGTGAATTTATCAGGCAAATAATCCAAGATAAAAGATCAAGTCAGACCAGATGCTGATTGCCTTTTAATGGCACTAGTGATAGTATATTCCTCCTAGACCAGATTATATACCCTTTCTCCAGAAGAGTAATAATTTTAGGCAAAATGCATTAAATAACATGGAATTTAACTTGTATGAACATTTAAAAAATATTTATTAAAGATTATAATTGCAATAGTAAAAACTAATACAACTAGAAGTGTAAAAGTTTGAAGGAAAAAGAAAAAATAGACGAAATAAAAGAAAAGGACTGCAATAAAGAGAAAAGATATATATATAAAGAAGTGACTTACAAACTTCAATACAAGTATAAACAATTTAATAACTTTTCACCTCTTAATTTTAGAATCAATTATATCTTCATCTCTTATCCATAAACAAATCCATAAAACATCATCATTTCAGTCCTGGTGTTGGCAAAAATCCATTAAGGTTTGCTAGAAATGTCAAATTCAAATATCTTTATTACAGCCTTTGACCAGCCTTTACAATAGAAAAATATAGTAAAAAGAGAAATAGTTTGACACAGCAATTGTTACTGGGGAAGGGAAAAATAATAGGACAATAAAAATGTATCTAATTTAAAAAATTGTACAGTTGTATATCTTGGTGAAAATATTTGGCCACTGATATATGTGTGGTCATGGTGGCTCAGTGGGTAAGACACTGAGCTTGTCGATCGAAAGGTCGGCAGTTCAGTGGTTCGAATCCCTAGTGCTGCATAACGGGGTGAGCTCCCATTACTTGTCCCAGCTTCTGCCAACCTAGCAGTTTGAAAGCAAGTAGAAAAAATAGGGACCACCTTTGGTGGGAAGGTAACAGCGTTCCGTGCACCTTTGCCGTTTAGTAATGCTGGCCACATGACCACAGAGATGTCTTTGGACAGCACTGGCTCTTCGGCTTTGAAACGAAGATGAGCACCGACCCCTAGAGTCGGGAATGACTAGCACATATGTGTGAGGGGAACCTTTACCTTTATGTGTGTGTAGAGTTAGCATCCCTTCGAAGATAATAACTATAAAATGTATCTGTATGGCCCTCCCATTTGGAAATGATTGGGGCAATCATAGTACATCTTGGGGTATCAAAGAAAGGAGACTGTATGAGAACAAAGGTGAGAGTTTCTACCTCCTTTGATCTACAGGGGCAAAATCTATGAATAGGGAGTCCCATGAAATTTTTGTCGCCAATAGAGCTGGTGGGAGGGCATCAAATCGGGCTCTGGAAAAGGCCAATTTATATTTGCTTAATGTTAAATTAACACAAGATTCATCCAAGCTTTAACAAACCTTTGTAAATTGAGGTCACTTTCTTAATTTATTATTTGTAATTTCCGTGGATTTTTAACCAATTAACCAATTTTTTAAATCTGTCCAATAAGATATCTTTTTCCATATCATCTTGTTGTCTATTACTGGGATCCTCTTTCAGTATCAACTCTGTCTCTGTCTTGTTGGATGAACTTTGTTCCTCCTGCTGTTTCTTTCCAGATCTTTTGGACATATCCATAGAAACAAACACTGCTGTTGATGTAGGTGATATTAACTTCTGATCCATTTCTCAAAAGTGCACTTTCCAATATTAACATATTTTGTGTCATTCTAGAGTTTGCTAATCAAATATATGTATTCTATAATTCAGATATTTAATTCTGTCTAGTGTCCAATTGTTAAAAGTGCTTATCTCTAGAAAAATTAAAAACTTGAACATGTGAAGGATTATTTATAATTAATTCCAAAAGCTCATTTCAATTTTTTCTGGACCCTTAATCTGTTTATAACTTTCCCAAGTCAAAAAGTCTTACCTTTTTATTGTTTAACTTCATTTCAATTTTTAAAAAGTTCTTAAGCTTGTAGTTAAACTTTACTAAAGAATTGAAGCCAGACTCACCCTGTTTTTTTCAGACTCATTGATCCAAAGGTATCTAATAGCTGAAAAGGAGTTAACAAGAATTTCCAAATGTGATTAGAAAGGGAAGTAGGTAAACTTAGTATCCTTTTAATGGTGTCTACCACAGTTCGAGCAAGATGGCATTGTATATTTCATAAAATAAATATAACTTTTACCATGTGAATTTTTTTTATTTCATCCAAGTCTTTAATTGTTACATCATAAATTATATGTTTTCATATCTAAATTAAAAGCAGTTTGGCTTTCCTAGTTTTGTTTCCTTGAATTATATCTATCTTAGCATTATCAGAAAGTATTTCCACTTGCGCAAGATAAAATACTCGGTATTGAGCTGTACTATAATTATCTATGCCATATTTAATAATATTCCTGAAGTTTTCTCAGCTCTGAAGACAAGTCTGTCTGGAAGGATTGGAAGAAAGAATTGCAGTGGGAAAAAAATTGAGTTTTTAAATTTTGGGGGTCTATTTTGCAATAGGAAAAAATCATCATTAGATACATTCTTGATTTATTATTTTTAAATAAGAACTATCATATTGGTTAACATAATTATTGGTATTAAATATAAAATTATGCGGATTGTTCTGTTTGGTATGCCATAAAATTTTTAATATTATTTGAAAGGAAATATGTAATCTGTTCTTACTGTTTGATGCCATTTCCTCTCCTATGACTAATTGTCCACTTAGGGAAAAAATGCTCAATGAATTCCCAGGGGTCTAGACTGGAATGTGTAGTCCAAAAACAGCTTAGTGGCAAACAATTTCTGTACTGTTGCCAAGAAAACTACATGGATATGTACAAATAGTCCAGGTGTTGAGTTTGACTAAAGATAATTTACTCAGGGAATACGTTCTAAAATGTATCAGTTTAATGTATTGGTTAAATGCTTCTGCTATCACTTTGTTTTATAATGAACGTTCATAGATTAGGGCTGCAAAAATCCAGATAAAGAAAACCTAGCTCTTTGATATCTATTAGTTATCTAGATTTTCTCAGCCCAGATCTGATATTTCTAAATATACGGACCATAATTGATGCTCACTGGTATATTGCCTTTAAAACTATTAACATAAGTTACTGACTAAAGTGTTACAATTCAGACACTAATCCAGAGAATTTGTTCAATATAATAAAGTTAATCCGTTCCATGTTAGAAATGCTGCTTACTGAGTCTGAAGGATGTAACAAATACCCCATGCCTAAGCTCTGCAGGGTTTCCTGCTTCTAAAACTAGAGAACAACAAGAGTTTTCCTGGGAGGTTCTGAGGTAGGAGGAGCAAGGCTCCACTTTGTTCTCTCCCAGAAAGGCTAAAGTAACTTCAGCAGAATGACAATTATCAAGAACACTTCAGTCAGTAGTGGACTCTATAAAATTGGAGGAGGAGGAGAATATTCATATCTATAGCAGCATAAATATTAATTGAGACAACAGAAAATAAACTAAGAGTAATTTTTCTGTCTTCATTAGTTGTACCAGTGGGAAATGGGAGAAAAAAGACTTAAGGATGGAAGAAGCAATGAAAGGTATTTATGAAAAGTCCTGCCTGTCTTGCCAATCTTTAAACACCTTGAGTATGTAATGAACTGGGATCGTGTTTTTATAAGCTAACCAACATGCACCAATTGGTAATTCTTGGAATTATTACACCACTTTGTGTAAAATGTCCAGCTGAATTGGTTAAAGAGCAGGGTGGGATCTTGGACTGTATTTCATTGGAGGGACTGGGAAGGGAAGGAAGGAAGGAAGGAAGGAGTTACCCTTCTCTGCAAGAATTGTATTTGGTTTATGATCAAATTCTGATGCTGACATAGTTATACAGAATATTTGAATATGCATATTACATGGACATTTATGATTTATTTTATTTTAAAAGCTTTTGGATTGGTGAATGCTGAGAATTAACAGTATTTCTCTTGTTCCAAACATGTGGTTTCTGGATGAAGTACTGCAACTCAAGGATGTCCTTATTTTAAAAGTTGAATTCTGACTGCATTTGTTTCTTGCTGGTTATGGGTTTTGCATGCCAGTGCATATTTCCATAATCGTTGATATCTATTCTGCTTTTCTAGTCCTTGTCACAAAATATTATTTAGTAAACAAAAGGACAAGTGCCAGTAAAGTGGTGCATTTTGATATATGGATTGCGTTTTATTCCCCACTTCTTATTTTTGATAGGCAAAGCCATCTCATTTTAGGAACTACTATGGCAATGCATCTCATAAAAACTGCACAAATTTTTAATGCAGTATCTCGTAATGTAATAAAAGTGATTTAATAGTTGCTAAGAGAAAGGTTTTTTTCATTTGTTCCTCCCCACCCAACCCCCCTTTCCACCCCCTTAAGGTGACAGGATGGTTGAAGATAGTGGAGTCTCTAACTCAAGCATTGAGTTTTGGCTGAACAAGACTCTTGAGTGGGATCAGATCACCACTTTAGAATCCCAGCAAGATGTCTGCCTTCACTTGCCTGAATTACAGGAATTTCTCCTGCAGATTTATGGAGCTTTGAAACATATGGTAAGTGAATTAACTGAAAGAATGAACTGTTTTGAAGACTGTTACAGAAACATTCTGCACCCCACATTTTGACAAGATAAAAAGCTAACAGTAGCAGAGAGCCTTGTAGTACTGACCTAATGTATTGCTGGATCATAGAAGCAAATTGGGGAAACAGCCATAGGTAATGCAAGCAGGAATGTGTTTCCTGTGCTCTTGATTTATTATGAAATGAACCTTTTCTTTTTGATTGGTTATATTCTCACATGAGATTTCCTATTCAATGCAGCCAGCTTTTTAAAATACTTTAAAGTAAAAAGTATTTAGTTCTCATTGTCATGCCATATATTTCATTAGGTACAAATCCTTAATTTATAATATTAAAATTATATTTGATCTCTTAAACCATGGAGTCTGCTGGCCTATTAACTTTATTGTTGTTGCTTTCAAAAATGTTTTCAGATCTCCATTGTGCGATCACAGGCAAATATCTAGTTTGCTTCTGCTATTTTGCTTCTCTATTATTAGGTTATAATAATTTATAGAAGACAAATTGCAAATAATTAGGGTATTGTTATATTGTTGTATGCACTAAAATATATTTTGTTATATGGCAGTTAGCCTATAATTAGTATAAATAGTCAGGAAAGCATTTTTGATAAAATAATAAGTGACAGATCAGCTATTGAAAAGTTTATTTTGTTAGCAGTTGCCTATGTTTCTGAGGACATAACTTTTTCTCTTCAAATTTTCTAATTGTACTGAATTACTTATGAAACTTGGCTTCAGATGGACCTTCTGTATATGACTCCACAATGTCTAGGGGTTGTTCCAAATTTGGATCAAATCTGAAGAATTTATTGTAGTGAGAAGTAATTATTAACTTTGTTGTTTCTTGCATTATCTTGGTTTACTATAATTTAAAAATCTATTTTAATATTAGTCATTAAAGCTACAAAAAAGAGAAAATGAAAATGCTTGATTGTATAAAATGCTTATTAACTGCACCATGTTTTACTTTTATAGCAAAGCTTCTTTCCATTTGTTAATTTTTCTTTAGCTTTTGTAGGTATAGTGTCTGTTAAATTTCAGGTTGCAATTCATATTAAATGTAGCAAGTGGTAATTGAAATATTAAGATTACTTTGTACTGTGGTTGGGACTCAATCCTTCATATAATGTATAGAATGATGTAGCAATATGATATCTTCAGTAATTTGTTTTTATATATTATTCACTTTGATCTTGTAAGTTAAGAGAAACCAACAAAAGTAGTTTTTTTAGTATATTTTTGTGTATTTTTTCATTTTTTCCTCTCTGTGAAGGACATAGACTGTTTTTAAATTTGATAAATAAAATAAGTAAATAATAAATAATTAGAATGTCTTATAAAAGCATTGTGTTGATCCACAAAAAGTTGGATTGAGTGGAAAGATGTTAAATACTTCAATTTACAACTTCAATGTTTTCTTTTTGCTGTCTTGATTTCTATTTTTCAGTTGTATCTCTGTAAGAATAATTGAGCAGACTAGTGGTATAGTGACTATAGTATGTAAGGCAGTAGTGTGAACAGCTGTGATTGTTTGTGCACAGCTCTAAGTGTGAGGTGAAAGTGAGCAGGAGAGTATTTGGTATGGTGGTTTGGGAATCTGGCCTAAGGCTTGGGGGTACCCAGTGGGAGTGGGAAAAGGCCTGTGAAGACCCAAGGGGGCAGGAAGCAGAGTGAGTGGGGGAGAACTGGGGCAGGAAAACCTGTGCTAGTCCTCCAAGGGCTGCCCCCACCACCACCCTGTGTTCCACCTAATGATGTTTGTTTAACAATTTATTGGGGAGAGAGGGGATGGGGAGATTGCTAAATGAGATGCTTCACTTAACAGCCATTGTGACATGTGACTAATGAGCAGACTCCATTATTGTTGTATCTCGAGGACTATCTGTACATTTAAGCAGCACTTGTTCCAAAGATGCACTGGCCTTAAGTTCCATTTTCCCATTCCCTACCGTTGTGGGTAGCCAACATATTTTGTCACCCATTAATTTCAAGACTAAGCATTCTCTTTAATTTCAGAACTCGACAACTGCAGTCCAAAAATTTCCATTAATTGGTCAGTTATTAGGAAGACTTTGTTGGAATCCTTTTGTCATTGGTTATGGTAAGTGTTTATAACTTGTTTTGTTAAAATAATTGATAATTAAGGGAGTGTTTATTAAAATTATACTTTCAATGTAAGCATCAGACAGTGGTACATCTAGCATAACTACATATTTGCTGGCATCAACATTACAGACAAGGGTTTTGTAATGAAAGCAACAGTTGCCCAAAATAATAAATAAAAAAAATACATTAATTAATAGTATCAAATACTTTGCAATAAAATTAAAAGAAAAGAAAGAAAACACACAGTTGTACATTACTAACTGTTAATCTATAAAATTTATTCAACCTGAGAATTCAATAATATTAAAGATAGAGATTAGCATTATAGAGCCAAAGTTTCCAGCAAGCATCTGCAGATTCATTTCCAGAATTCCAAAATAAAAATGGCAGAAAATCTTCAAGACAGAACTTAATCCTCAAAATAAGATTTTGAGAGTTCACTTCAGAATCTTCAGGTCTCTTGTGTTTTACCATTTTTGTGGGTTCCCCATGCAGTAACTTTTACTGTCTGAAAAGGATGGAGCACATCTCTGGAACTGTAGGGTTCAGTGTCTTTGTAGGAGGAGCAATTCTAACAGAATCATTCTATTCCAGCCAATTAATCCTTTGGCAGGAATACCAGAGGCAATCTTTCTCGAAACAGGTTGCCTTGGCTTTATTATTTCTCAAATTGACTACTGCGGTGCACTCTGTATGTAACAACCTTTGTAACTCCCTATAGGATGCAAAATACAACAATTTACCAGTGCCATGGTTTTGAGAGTTCTGCACTAGTTACCAGTATGTTTCCAGGTTTAACTCAAAATACTGGTTGTAACATGTAAAGTTCTTTTTGTCTTGGCACTTATGTGCCCCAAGAACAGCTTTTTCTAGGTAGAAGTGACTAGCCTTGTATATTCAGCCATATTAGTTTAGAGCATCACTTCCAAATGAGAACAGAAGAGCCAAAACATTCTGCTTCTCATTAAATGCTGTATTACATTCAGGGGTGGGTTCTACTTACCTTTACTACTGGTTTGCATCAAACCAGTGCTTCTGTGCTTCTGTGCTTCTGTGCATGTGCAGATCACCTATGATGACGTCCGGGTCGGTGAGTAGAGCCTCCCGCCAGTTTTACTACCAGTTCTTAAGAATTGGTCCGAACCCAGGGCAACCCACCACTGATTACTGATTACTACATTATGGAATATTGTTGTTATGTTATGTTACGTTACGTTACGTTACGTTACGTTACGTTACGTTACGTTGATTTATATGCCGCCCTTCTCTGGAGACTCAGGGCGGCTTACAATGCGCTAAGCAATAATTGTACAGGTTTCTGATGTGATTTTGCCTAGCTTCACCTGCTGCTTCCTGTTTGTTAGGAGCTTATGATCCATTTACAAGTGTGGTCAGATACAGCTAGCTGATTTAGTTTAGTTAGAAAAATATCTGGAAAGATGGTATTGAATGTTGAGCTAAATATACAAAGAGGACCCTTGCATAGGTCTTTGGAGATTCAAGATGTTGTAGGATGTAGTGCAGAGTCATATTAACAGCATCATCTGTCGATCTATTTGCTCAGTAGGCAAATTGCAGGGGTCTAACAGCAGATCCGTGATGGTTTTCAGGTGGGCCAGAACTAGCCTTTCAAAGGTTTTCATAAATACAGATGTAATAGAGTAACCGGTCTGAAGTCATACCATTCCTTGATGGAAAGTTGCTTCAGCACTGGGATAGTAGAGTGTTTGGAGCAAGAAGGAACATAGCACATTTCTAGTGATTTATTAAAGATGCGGGTGAAGATGGGGGCCAGTTGGTTAGCACAAACTTTTAAGCAAGAAGGAGTTATCTTGTCTGGGCCTGGTGCTTTTCTGGAAATACTCTCATTCCCACAGATTCAAATAGCGTCATTCATCACCCCAGACAATTTGTTAAAGGGCCTTGAAGACAAAATTTTCAGAGTTTTAAAATAGATGTTAAGGAATGTTTATAGAATCTAACATTTTATAAGAGCAGGAACACTATATTTTATGGATTTATATACAGGTACTCCTTAAATTATGATGGCAATTGGGATTGGAATTTGCCTTGCTAAACAATGTGTGCCTGATTAGGTCCTTTGCAATACTGTGCAAGGCGGCCTTGGCAGAGAACCAGACTGGGCATGCTTGGTCTGCAGTGGGAGCAAGAAGATGGTAAAGGTCAGTTGGGCAAACAAAGCACAGGGCAGCAGGAAGCCAGAAGGGCAGAGACGAGGGAGAAATAGGCAGAAGGGCAGGTGAAGCATCTCTGCAAGTCATGTGGGTAGGTATATTTTGATCATGTGCTTGTAAGAGGGCTGCAATGGCTATAATTTCAGGGACCGGGAGTAAGTATAATTCCTTCAGGGCCACCATAATTTTAAACAATCACTGAACAAATGATCATAACTTAAGGACTTCTTGTAATTTGTAGGTCATCTTCTGTAGTTGGTAATATAATAATGATGTGAACACATAAACAAGCAGGATTGTTAACAAAAGTGGCCCTACTGTTTACACTGGTTATATCAAAATCCTTTCACATATGATACCATTGTAAGCAAGTAGTATCTAATACCGCAAAGTTGTCTTCGGATTTAAATGGTTATTAATACGTATAGATTTTTAACATACAGTTTTATAGTTCTTTTATAGTGTGGCTGGTTTTAAATGCTTGAATTTGGACTATTTAAGAGGAATTCTTTATTAACAGAACAATTGTAATTAAAGGTTTCAGTACACCAACCTTTGAGTACTTTTGTCAAATTGTAATCCATATTGGCTTTTCCTTCATTGCTATCAGTAGCAGGGAAAATGGACAAGTAACTAGCTGCTCTTAATTTCACTCTGTTGGGGGAGTAACAAAACAGTCAGTAGTGGTGAGAGGAAGTAATTATGAGGAAAAAGATATTCAGAGTTAGTTTTTAAGTTAGAAAAATAAAACAATGCAAAAATTTGAATTTAATGTCATAAAACTGTTGTTCTCTATACAAATACGTTTTAAGTATAATTTTATCAATAAAATAAATTGCAAAAAAAAATAAAGAGGCTTGATTCAGAACAAGTTAGTTAGATTGAAACCGATAGGATTTAAGTTTGTCACAATTAACTAGGTTGACATTGAGTCCGCAAGACAATCAATTAAGGCCATCTCCAAATACATTAAAATATGTTTTATATTAAGAGACGGAAGAATGAAACAGTCTATATGTGATGAATGGAATGACTTAGAAAGAATAGAATAGAAGAAAAATAACTAAAGATTTACTATGTCCTTGGTTTTTTGTTTTTGTTTATTAACATGAGCAAAAGATTCTTCTTGTCCTGCTTTGATTATTTTTTTTTAAAATATCCTTATTTGGATTGGTATCCACAGATGAATGCCAGAAGATTCTGATGTGCTGCTTATGTTGTCTGTACAGTGGTGAACCACAGAACCCTCTGGAATTGAAGGCCAACAGCTGGATACAAGTAAGCAAATGAATCCTCCCCTCAGCTGCTTTACATTAACTTAATTATTTAAAGGTGCAGCATCTACAGCATATAGACACTGTGTCATTTTTGGAAACCACTCCAGAGACATGCTAGATTCACATTGTATTGAAATGTATTCTCCTTTAATTAAAGTACAAACTCTGCTGTCTCTCATTTTGAACATTAAAAAAGATGTGGTGTTTAAAACCAAAGTAATTGTAATGGCCCTTAATTGAATGGAGCCTAGATTCTGGCAACTTTAAGTAAAGAACAAAGTCCATAAATCAGCAAGCAAGAGAGTGATATAAAAGCAAACTTTCAATTAGGGGAAAAATAAGGCAATCTGGATAGAAGCCCTTGTTTGTTTTGAAAACAATTTATATATGCTCTATAATTTTGCTTTTATTTTTGTTTAATCTTTCTAGCCTTGGGATAAACTAATTGTATCCAAATTTTATTCACAGACAGCTAAAGAAAACACTTGTGTGCAACATAATTTTTTTAGTTAGTTCTGAATTAAATTAATCTGCAATTGCTTGAATTTTACATTGCACAGTCTTTCATGTAAAATCTGATGGCATTTTTTCCTAAATAACCCCCATTTTAAAATTAATTTATTCCACCGTTAAGCAAAACAGAAAACATTTTCTATTTAGACAACTAGTGCATGCTTTATAATTATATACTCTGGGAATCGTGATGGAATAGTAGTTTATTTTGAGGAATAATACTAGAATTAAGTGAAGTTGAACCTGTTAATGCAGGTTCTATTGACATACTTATCAAAATTGGGGTCTGCTTTGAATTATGGAAATCTGGTTTAATAATTCATAGTAGATTGTTCCTTCTCATGAGCTCTGAAACTGAACAAGTTTCTATTAAGCATAGTTTGCATATCACATTGTTTCATTTGTGTATAGTATAACACGTGACTCCATCTCATTAGCCCAATCATTAGTTTCTTACAATAACATAATTTGAAGTGCTCTTTGCTTGGTGAATACAGGTAATCCTTGTTTAGTAAACACCTGTGCGACATCTATTCAAAGTTGCAACTGATCCTTGAAGTTACAGCTGTTGTAGTGTCCTGCAATCATGTTGTTGCCATTTGTGATCTTCCTTGCCAGCTTTCCACAAGCAAAATCAAAGCCAGCAGGGAAGATTGCAAGTTGTTATGATAAGTCCCCCCCTCCCTGCACACTGTACCACACCCTCCCTCATTCTTTATTTGCTTGCACTAACCCAGGACCTCCCTGCACTTGTAGGCCCTCGGACTGATCCTAGGCTTCCCTGAGCTTGTGTGGACTTGAGACTGCCTAGATAAGTGATGGCTAACCTTTTTGCCATCACGTGCCAAAAATGGGGGAAACGTGGGGGAGTTGCGCGCCCGTGTGCCCCCACTCATAATTCTATGTGCCCCACCCCCGCGCATGTGTATGCAACCCTCCCCACGCTTCCACTGCTTTTGGCACGTGATGGCCCGGTGGGCCTGGTAGGGCCATTTTTTGCCCTCCCCAGGCTCCAGAGCCTTTCTAGGAGCCTGGGGAGGGCGAAAACAGCCTTCCCCGCTCCCCAGAGGTCTGTTTGCTGACTTCCAGTGGGCCCAGAAAGCCCGAAAATCAGTTGGCCACGGGCACATGTGCGCCGGAGCTAAGCTCATGTGCCCAGGTGGCACGCGTGCCATAGGTTCACCATCACGGGCCTAGCTTGTTGTCATTAAACAATGCAGTTACATGACGTACTTTACAACCACATTGCTTAATCCCAGTCGTAACTTGAGGACCACCTGAACGGTTTCTAACCAAGACTTCACTTTGCTCTGAACCTGTATGAAAGGGTTGGGAGAGGGTTGTTTCTGGAGGAGATGGCTTCCGATTAGTCCTTCAAGAAACAGACAGCATTACAATTTTTAGGGACTAAAAGAGTAATTTTCTAAGGAATATCTGTTTGATTTTCAATTGTGTAGGGACCAGCCGTTTGCCATGTATTCTGTCTGGTAACAATTTCAATTCCTTGCTTCTATTATTAGTCTCAATATTAATCATTTGATAATTTAAAAGAACTACTATAAAAAAAGCAAAAGAAGTAAAATCAAACATTAGAACACAACATGTAAAGTTGTTTTGAAGCCATTTAAAAAGGAAACATTTTTGAAACTTATAATAGTCATGAAATCTAAAAATCCTTGTTGAATATGCTTTCTTCACAAAACAAACATTCAAAAAAAAAGTTAGAATTGCCATCGTTAGGATAGTTATTCCTTCATTAATTTTCTTTTTCAGTTCTAGCTGAACTTTTTCATTTAGCACAATTTGCAAACACAGCCATTCTATTCAAAAGCAATTATTATCAAAATTTTTCAAATAATGTAGGATTCAGAAACATGTAAATTTTTGTGTGTAAGACAAGACTATTTTCTGTATGCTAACTAAATCATACTAAACATACTAAATCAATAGCAATTAGTTTGTAATTATGACAGTAAGCTTTGGGCTTTTACATTTTTTTCTCCTCAAGTGTTATTATGAGAGAGATTTGAAAATGTTCACTTTCATTTTACATTGAGGTATGACTCAACAAAAAGAAAGATGGGGATCATGCTTTCCAGTAGCAAATTGCAAATTTTTCAAATAGTGATGAAATAGTTGGGAGATCTTAATTACCCTGACATCAGTTGGGAAATAAAGTGTAAGTATGTTTTTTTTTATGCAGTTGCATCATTTTAAGGATAGAGAAAGTGAACGAGCTAGCCTGGAATTGACCTTAACTAATAGGGTAGGCTTACTGGTTAAAGTAAAAGTAATGTGGATAAAAGGGAAAGAGACCATGTAATGTTGGAATTCTTGATTGTAATCAGAGCTGAGGCTGGCTGTAGTCAAATATATTGTATGCACTGAACTTCAAGAAAGCCCATTTTAATAAACTTAAAACAATGATAAAAAGTATTCCATGCCAGAAAAAAGTCGATGGGAAAAGACCTGAGATGAGTGGGAGTTCCTAAAGTAAAAGATACTGAAAGCACAGTAGCAAATAATTCTGAAGGGAGTGGGGAATAGCAGTCAGCAATATAGCTACAAAAATATTAGCTAAGATATGAAAATAAAGATAATAAAGTTGGGGAGATATGTTTTATAGTATGTTCTTTTAATTGTAAACTATTTCAAGGGAGTTCCTTTAATGAGAAGCATTTTTTAAAAAATGAACAGATTATCAAGAAATACATACATATAGCCAGGAAATGATTCAAGAAAGATTAATACTCGGATTAAACTGAGATTGGCAAAGAGCGAAAAGAGCTGTTTTGGATATGTTCAAAATAAAAGATGAGAGAAAGAAGCAATATGGCAGCTACTCAGTGAAGATATCATATACCTAATTGGTAGCAAGGGAAGCGTGGGATATTTAAACTACTATTTTTAATTCTATCCTCTTTGAGAAGAGGATATACATTTTATCAGGCAACTGCTGTAAAATCAGGATGAAGATGTGGGATTAAAGTGGGTTGTAGCATAAGTATGGATAATTTTTGCTAAATCCAGCTAACTCAGGAGGAAAAGCAGCTAGCACATTAATTATAATTGTGAATACGTGCCTTTTTAAATCCAATGACAAATGGGGCTCCAAGACCACTTTCAAAGTACAAACCTGTTGCTTTGAGAGGAGTACAGCTCCATTCTGAGCAAGTTTCATCTTAATCCAGAATTTTTCTTACAAATATCCATTGTGTCTGGATTTAATTTCAATATATTATCCGTCATCCAGCCCAATATCAAGTTTAAGCAGTATATCAAGAGTACTATTGTTTCATTAGATTGATAAGGCACGGAGCAACAGAAAAGGTTGTTATCAGCAGACAGAAGGCACAACTCCAAAGCTCCGCATGACTATTCCCAATGGTTGCATACAGGTTGAAAAATATAGAAGACAAGATATAACCTGAGGGACATAAGAAGTCTGTGACCTAGTTGTCTAACAATAGTCCCTTAGCACCCTCTTCTGGACACAACCTGACAGGGAGGACCTGCATCACGACAAAATAGTGTCCCTAAACCCTACTTTTCAAGGCAAACCATAAATATTCATTGAATCAATGTAACCGAAATCTGCTGAGAAGCCTAGGAGAAGTAGAAGGTCTACATTTCCCCACCTGCTTCCATTAAGATGACAAGCCATTTCATTCCATGTTCTGAATGAATAGCAATTGAAATGGATTCAGAAAATTAATTCCATCCTGGAATTCTGAGGCCACAACTTTCTAAGTCAGCTTGTCAAGAGTGGCAAGTATTCTTGAAATATCAAGAAATATTTCAGAGTGGCCTAAATTTAGAAAGATCTTTTGGGTCGGGGAAGACACATGCTTAATCACATAAAACACCTCCCTTAACCTTGAGGCCAATCTGAGCCTATTTGTTTAATTAGCCAAGATCAGGATCAATTAAGCCAGTAGTAGCCTTCATTTTTGCATGCATACTCATCCACAATCTTAAAATCTATAAGGTGAAAAATATCCATATAAACCTGTCAAGCAAGTTATTTCCCAATGCTATATAATGTTGGACCCAATGTTGGAGTCCAAATCAAAGGAAATTGTTCTGAATCAAATCACACAGGGGTATTGTTAGTTCCAGTTTCCCTTGCCCAGTATCATGATGAATGAGGTGAATATTGCACAGCATCACCAGTTTGTTTTGTGTAAAGACAACATAGTCAAGAGAAATGATACCACTGCTGTAAAGAAAGATCTCAAATGGATCTGAAGAAAAGCCCCATTCTGTGTCTAAAATGATTTGTTGTGAAAGTTTCTGTAACTACGCTATCCGTCTGTCCATCTTCATTCTCAAAGGAACTTACAGAATTCTGCTAGAACCCCTTAGGACTTAGAATATCAACTGCCAAGGCCATTCTGTTCTCTACAGATCATTCAGACCTTTGACACTACAGATAGTCTGTGACTTACTACTTGTTGTTTAATGACTGCTCAAATTTATTATAACCTC